ATGCCCACATGGCCTTAACCCATCTTAATTTAATTTTGATATTATGAATGCTTATTAGTTGCTTTATTTCGATTGCAATCTGGCTACTATCTTTAAATTGCTGCAATGTTTGTATTGCTGCTCTACTATCTGTATTAAGAATCCTTTTGAGTAGATAGGGACAAAAGTTCAATTTAATTTTTTATTTAATTTTTTTTTGTTACTTGCTATTGAAACTACACATTATATATTCTTAAATTAAAATGTTTCATAAAGTGAATGTTTTACAAAGTAGAGTTAAATAGCAATATATTTTAAAATTAAACATTTTATGGATTAAATTTTTACATATAGATTAAGGTTACATATATGCCATCTTGTAACGAAATTTTAAACTAAAAACCTTCCCAAATTATTTTATTATCTGATAATACATTGCAATGTAAATGTTACGTGTTTGCATTAAAAAACTAAAATATTTATATATATATATTTTATAGCCTCTCTAAACAAAAAATATGCAATTTTTTAAGTTACTATTTCTTAAAAAATAGAAAAAATGTTACTTCTAACCCAGTTCATGAAAATGTTAACATTTATAATTGTGTATTTTCACAAATTTTCAATTAAGTTGAATTACTTGAATTTTTTAATTAAAAACAAAATTTAAATTTTTTAATTAAAAAAATTAAAAACAGAATTGACATTACTTGCATTGGTGACATCTGGAGATCACGATAGTACATATTTAACCCTTTTAAGATCAATGAAATTTGATAGTAATGCTGAAAATAACATTCATTACATTTGAAATGTAATTGTTTTTTCAAGATTCGTAATTTATTAAAAGTTATATTTTAAATCTACCCTGTGGGCACTACGAGGGTCTTCTTTTCTAATTCATTCATTAGTTCGGCCAGGCTCACAATTGGTCCGCCGAGTGATGGGGAACGAGGCCATTCATATATCCATTGGTGAAAAATTCCTGGCGAGTTGCTTCCAGGATTTGATCACATCACAAGAACAGTACACTGATAACTTTACCAGAGATGTGTTACAACGAATCTAAAGTATATTTTTTTCTAAATTTTTTTCAACAAAATCATTAACTAAATCATCGAAATTCAATTCGTTTAATAAATCAGACTCAATATTTACGACTGAAAGATAGAACAACCTATCATGCAATATTGTACTTCGGTATTTTTTTTTTCGTATTTTAATTAAGAAAAAGAACGTTTCTTAGTGCAATTCGTTATCATAAAACAGAAATAAATATGTCGGAACAGGTAAACCCTCCGTTGCGAATTCCTTAAGGGAGCCTTCGAGCTTTCCTTGGCCCGGGTCTCGCACGTACCAAAGACGAGCCTGATGTAATTTATATTTAAACTTTATGAAGTGCAAGATATGTGTTAGAAAATATCGGCGGTGTGATCTGCATAGTGTTTAAAAAAAATCCACTCTACTTATACACGCACGATTTTGTTCTACCTCTTTAAAGCTTATTAACTCCAGTATTGTCAAAGTATTTATGAAATTTTGGAAAAAAAGTTTGTTTATTAAGGGATTACAGCTGCTAAATTTTGGTGACTAAAAATCGACAATGGGGAAATAAACGTGGTCGTGTGTATTTCAAGTAGGGTCAGACTTAATGACGATTTTACTTCTTATTAGCATTTACAATGCTTAGAAAATCCATACCAAATCACAATAATAAGCTTTATACAATTCTATAATAGTTAAAAATATAAAAAAATGTAAATAAAATTTGATAACAGATGGCGCTACCAAACGTCGCGGGGGAAACATAAGCAACTTGTTGCTAGATTATTTTTTTAAATGACTACGTGTAAAACATACTGTTAGCGCCCCAAGCGCCACCATAATTTTGTAAAAAAAAATTATTTAAAAAATTGGAAACGAGACTAGTTTTGTAACGGTCATTTGTAGCGGCCATTTTGTATCAGTGTTTCATTCCGCATTAAACGTTATTTTTTGCAAAACCGCAGTACTTTCATATTTTTACAGTCCATTAAAGATCGACAAACATCTGGTCCGTCAAGGCGGATCAAGAAGAAAACAGAGACAACTTCGCAAGCAAATAAGATTGGGTTAAACTTCATTAAGTCACCTATCCAAGTTAGGAGGAATTTATCTGTTCCTTTTACGTAGTAGACACTTTAAAATGGATCAACTCGAGAAATTAAAGAAAAAATGCACTTCGATAAGAGCTAGTGTGACGAAATTAATTAGTAAAATTGATAGTCTAATTGAAAGCGACGATAGAGAGACATAAACTCATCTAGAAATACTGGATCAGTTGAGTCGAAAGGAAAAGTCATTGAGAACCTTAAACGGGGAGATTGAGGGTTTCATTATATGATAGAAATGATCAATCTAAATATATAAAATTGCTTGTCCTGACTGACTGACTGAATGACTCAGATTCATCATCGCCCAGAGCAAACCGCTTAACCTAAAGAAGTGAAATTTGGTAGACAGTTAGGGGACGTCATGAAAACGCACACTAAGAAAAGATTTTTCGAAATTCTCCCGCGGGGGGAAGAAGGAAAGGATTAATGCTTAACCGGAAAAACGGCTTCTACTGTACTATTTTAGATGCGATTTTTTGTTTTATCTGCGTTTTAGTAGGGTACGTCATGAGAATGCACACTAAGAAGGGATTTTTCTAAATTCTCTTGCGGGGGGAGAGGGAGAGGATTAATGCTTAACCGGAAAAATGGCTTCTACTGTACTATTTTAGATGCGATTTTTTGTTTTATCTGCGTTTTAGTAGGGTACGCCATGAGAATGCACACTAAGAATGAATTTTTCGAAATTCTTCTCGGAGGGGGAGAGGGAGAGGATTTAGTCTTCATCGAGTACAGTACTTATTAAATTAATAACATTTCAGACATTGTTATAAATATTTTTATCTATTTCGATTTTTAAAATGTTCAAACCGTTTTAAATTCGAATTTGTTATTGCATATTGGTTCGATCATAGAACGATTGTAAACGTTTTAGAAAATTGATCAAATTGAAAATAGTTCGTTTGATTCTCGGATACTTTTTTCAGCGGTAGGTGTTATATAACAATTACTGTGGTTATTGAAATATTGAAGGTAAATGGGGTTTGCTTGCGAAACCTCTGCGGACGAAGTCGCGGGTAACAGCTACTTACAGCATAAAAAGGCGTAAAAACAGGATTATCAAAGCCAATAAACGGTAAAAACGTTTCCCGTAAACTTAGCATTGAAAGTTTGAATGGTGGAGTTTTTTGGTGATATTTATTGCTAAATTAAATATTAGCAATAAAAAACCATAAAAAACGCCCGCCATCTAGCGGGATGAACGGGTCACAGGTGAAGCTACTGAAACTATACTTGCGAAACTCTTTACAGATTGTCTTAATAGTGGCAGAATCCCCAAAGACTGGAAAAAATTAATAATAATCTTACTTCATAAAAAGGGTGAAATAGAAGACCTTAGGAACTACAGGCCTATCAGTCTTTTCCTGATGACATAAAATTTTCACTAAGGTACTGACAAATCACCTACAAAAACAACTGGACCTTGCCCAACCAAGAGAACAAGCTGGATTTAGGAGTGGATACAGCACACTAGGTTGTGAGAGAGCTCATTGAAAGGTCGAACGAATACGAAATCCCACTATGCGTTGCATTTGTTGACTTGAAAAGGCTTTTGATTCTGTAATTACATCACTAAAGGCATATGGTATCGAAGCTACGTAAGTACATCAAAATTCTTGAGAACATTTATGAAGGGGTAAGCGCAAAAGTTTGCTTGCTTCGACATACTGATATTAAAATTGAAAAGAGAGTGAGACAAGGTGATACTATCTCTCCAAAACTTTTTACAAATGTATCAGAAAGTGTTTTTCAATTAATGAACTGGAAGAATAAAGGTGTACTGATATATGGAGATTATCTAATCCATTTTCGATTTGCTGACGACATTGCCATCATTACAGATAGCCCTGATAGCCTTCAGAGCTCCAGGACATGATTCAAGAACTTGCAAACAAAAGTAAAGAAGTTGCTTTAAAGATGAACTTGAACAAGACAAAAATTATGTACAGTACAACAGTTTTGTATGTGAAGAAACACTACTAGTGGATAACATGGAATTGGAAAAGGTAGATGCTTACATTTACCTGGGACAAAGAATATCAATGGATGGCAACATCAAGGAGGAAATAAACAGACGTGTAAAACTTGTCTGGAGTGTTTGGTAGGAATAGTATAGTGTTGAAAAATCAACAGATGTCCCTGTGCCTGAAATGCAAGGTTTTTGATCAGTGTGTCTTGCCAGTTCTCACTTATGGATCAGAAAATTGGACTCTTAGAAAACCAGTGATCCAAAGACTACAGACTACGCAACGGAACATGGAAAGATGTATGCTTGGCATAACAAGGAGAGATTGGAAACGTATAACATGGATCACAAAAATGACAGGAGTTACCGATATCATCACTAGAGTAAAATCCCTCAAGTGGAAATGGGCTGGACATATTGCAAGAAGAACTGACCATCGCTGGACATCTGAAGTTCTTGATTGGATACCAAGAGATCGAAAACGACCAAGAAGACGTCCTCACACTCGGTGGGTTGATGAGATCAAGAGGCATCTTGGCACAACATGGAAGCGAAGTGCTCAAAACAAAAGATTGTGGAAGAGGCTTGGGGAGACCTTCATCCTGCAGTGGATTGATAACGGTTGATGATGATGATAATGATGACATGGATTATACAGGATTTGTTAAATAATAAATAATAGATTTTGTCTTTTTTCAAAGCAATGTAGATTTATGGTTGTGGATTACAAGATAAACATTTTAATTTAATAAAACATTTTATTTTTAACTACTGAATTATTAAATTCAGCAATTATAAAAATGAGAAAAAATAACTAATTAAAAAGTCAAGGAAGCAATAGCGTATGTGCATAGTAAGTTAATTCCTGTTTTATTTTTTCAATGTGCTGTACTGTAAGGGACATGAGGGTCAGGGAATTTGTACATAGTTGGTTAGGGAAAATCATGGAATTTAAAAAAAAATTAGTAGAAATCCTATATTTAAAAGTTTTATACCTTTCTTACTTCTTTCCTTCATTAAAAGCATGATAAATGATACTTTAAATACATTCTTTCTCTTCAAACTTTGAATTACCTCTGGCTGTTGCTCAAAGAATATTGCTGTCTGTTCAAGCAAGTTTTTACCTTTAACACCTTACATATAATATGTATTTAATAAGAAAAATGATGATGGAACTCTGTTGTTTATGGAATAAAACTCTGTTTTCCTGCACTCGTGATTGTGTAGAGACATTTTAGTTTTTATCTTTTTACTCACTCAGATACAAATTTTTGACCACTGTGTGTCATCTATAATTTTGTGGTCACTGGTGAAGTCTTTTGAGTAATTTATAAAACGTCTTGCTTAAATACCGTAGAAATTCATATTTGGTTTTTTCTACGTAGACCAGCGATGAATTGAAGCAACTGAATTTTCCTCTGTCGTCTGGTGGTTCGGAGGGAATATGCAAAACCATTCGGCCATCTGCTGGATTCTGTATCAAGATAAAAGATGATGAGGATGGAAAAATGTTCTTAAATGTTTGCTATTCTCTAGAGGTAAATTTTTTAAAGACTTAGTAATTAATAGTAGACTTATATCATAATACGTATGACATTTGTGAACTGTTCGTGATCTTCATATATAAGAAATAACTAGTGTATAATATTGTGCCTTATTTGCTTTTAAAATGTTTAGTTAAAACTAATATACATTAAGATGTTAAGACAAAAGTTAAAAATTTGTTTTGTATGTTAATCGAGGTGTACTTTTTGCTGTTACCAGAACCTCGTGAAATTGATGAGGATTTACTAGTCTCTATACTTAATTCAGACGATCCCACTACCTATCGTATTCCTATGAGTCTGGGTGAATGTCGAGAAGATAAAGGTAATTTATGTATTTGTAAAATTAGTATGTTTGTCAGAAACAAAGAAAACTTGAAGTAATGAACTTCACTATTGTTTATATTTATTGTATTATTAAATTTCAAATTTACTATAATAGTGGTAAATTTGCTGGTCCACTAAAATAGTGGTACAGTAGAGCGTCGATTTTCCGAATCAATTGGGGACTCGGGTTGTTCGTATAACTGATATTTCGGATAACCGATTTATGTACGAAAAAATAGTTTAACGTATCCGATGTTGAAATTTTTATCCGTTGCGTGTCGCTTCGCGTTGAATTTTCGTCGATGTTAAGCCTAACAAATACTTTTGTATCGTTAAAAATTAGTTTTTTGTTTTGTACAAACAAAATAAATATATTGAAAAATATAAAAACAATAAAAAATTATACTTCAGATGTTAATTTAGTATCAAAAACGTAAAATATTTGAGTAGCCCAAGACATAGCCAAAGATTGAAGCTCCACAGCACTGGCGAAAATTTAAATTTGCCGACTGGAAATCTTTCGGATGATTGACTTTCGGAAAATCGACGCTCTACTGTAGTTTGTTTCAGCTTATCAAAATTGAATAAATTTCCAAAATATTTTTGATTAAATAGAAAATTAAAATACTGTATATGCTAGTGTATAAACTTTTAAGCACAATTTCATTGTGGTAATAAGCTGTGTAAACTATTAATATTCTAATGGAAGTTTTCATTTTGGTTTGAATATAGACTTTTTGTACATAAGTGTTTTTAAGAAGACATCTTACTGGATACTTTCAGTAGTCATTTGATGCCCTACATTGATATTATTATCTAGATCTCTTCTTGTATGATCTATATAACACAGTGTGTTTGAAAAGTATAGGCACATCCAAATTTTTAACATTTTTAAACTTGGTAATAATATATTTTGAAATTATCTTAAACAGTTTTACAAGTATTTCATATAATGTCTTCAAATTTTATAAATAACAGAGGAAAAATGTTACCAGATTTTCACATTTTGACTGTTTCAAAAGTATAAACATAGGACTTGCATAACAATGATTTAGTGATTCTAAGCAAATTTTATATCAAACTTAACAAAACAATAGTTTAATACTTTGTAACCTCTGTTTTGGCCAGAATAGCTTTACAAGTTTTATTTGGCATAGATTGTATTAAGCTTTTCAAACATTCATCCTTAATTTCTTCTTTTTCTCAATTTCCAGCATTCACTGTTTAAAAACAAATGTTTTTGGCTACATTCAGTGGTTATGTCAGTTAAGCAGATTTTATATCGAACATCTGTAGCAGATTTAAAGTTTGGAATAATGATGTTTTTCTTTGACATAATTGTTTTTGAATAAATAAATAATATATTTTCATAAATATTAATATAGTTTTAACAAATTAAATGACTAATTACAAACAAATAAAAATTAAAAATAAACTTATTTGGCGAAATGTAAATTTTTATTATTAGATGTATTAAAAAGAATACATGTGTATTATTTATTGATTGCTGCTATTTTTTAGGGGATTTCTAGTATAGATTACTATACCATAGATATGAATATAGATTTTTGATTGAACTAACCTATAATTTCCCACTGTCAACTGTCTATCCGTCTGTCTTTCCTTAATGTCGAGAATGGAATTAAATGGATAAAATCGGAGACCACATATGGAAACCTCAAGAGCTCGAGGCCCGATTAACTATAAATGAACTTCCCATGCAAACCAGCAGTCATGCTATTTCAATTCAGAAAATTTTCCTCTGAAAGTAGTTAATAGATGACCAGTATGACTCCATTGCTAATAGAAATGTATGACTTTACAGGAGCAAGACACTACAGTACTAATTTGAGGTGAAGAGCATATATTTTAAATGAAATAAATTAAACATATGATTAAAAATTGCAGCTTCGCAGGCATTGTGATGATGTCACAATAAATAATTGCTTGTTGTTAATATTGCAGCAAATATTTCAAATGCCTCCATGATTCTTAGTTTATGGTTATCAAATGTGTGTTTTGAAAACTTTGCTTTTGTCCATTGTGGAGACACCTCTTGCTCACTTGCATATTATGTTAGAGCTGTACTATATTTGCTTTTTACTAATATCATATTGGGGATCTTTAAATCTTGCATTAAGGATCTGTTTCTTAAGCCAATTCTAGAATCTATATCACATCTTGTTTGAACTATTTTTGGTAACTTTTTACCCCGTTTAGTAGTTCTATCTTTTCCAATAAAATATTTAGCCTTAGAGAAGCCAGCGTCTTTAACAGTTTCTCTGTGCAGCTTTATCCTGATCAATAGTGCATTCTTCACTAAGGTCTGTCCAAAAAGCTTAGGTAAAATGATTTTTCTTGAATAACTTTTAAAATACTGAACTTTCGATTGATTTCTCTTCTTCTTCTTCTGGTTCCATATTCATTTCTGAATGTAGGACTAGTATTATAACAATCTCAATTGTGCTTCACGTGTGAGTTCTTTTGCTTTCTTATTATTCCATTCACATATATTACCTAACTAACTTTTCCTTCTCCTTCCTGGGCTTTTCTTTCCACAGATTTTTCCCTCTAAAATATTTCTCAAAATTTCATATTTACTTCCTCGGATGATGTGGCCAAAATACCCCGTCTTTCTTCTTTTAACTGTATTTAAAACTTCTTTTTCTTTCCCCATTCTTTCCAAAACTTCATCATTTGTTATTCTATCTGTCCAAGATATTTTTAAAATTCTTCTATATAACCACATTTCGAATGCTTCAAGTTTGTTTAACGTATTTTTATGTAAGGTCCATGTTTCTACTCCATAAAACAAAACTGACATCACATAGCACCTTAGCATTCTAATTTTAAGATGTAAATTAAAAACATTGCATTTGAAAAATTTCTGCATTCTGATAAAAGTACCCCTTGCATTTTCTATTCTAGATTTAATTTCTTTAATGCATCTGCCATCTTCCTGTATGATAGTCCCCAAATACTTAATTGATGAAACTGTATCAATTGTCCTGTTTTGTATCTGCAACGTTACATTATCTATATTTTTCTTGCATGAAATAAGTAGCTTTGTTTTCTTATAATTCATCTGAAGTCCATATAATTTACTTATTGAATTAATCTTTTCCATTAGTATTGTCAAATCATTTATATTTTCTGCTTAAACCACTGTATCGTCAGCGTAACGTATATTAGTTACATTCATCCCATTTATTACAATCCTAATGTGTTCCATATCTTCTAAAGCTTCTTTAAAAATTTCATCTGAATAAATATTAAAAAGTAAAGGCGATAAAATACATCCTTGCCTTACTCCTCTTTTTATTTCTATTTCTTCAGATAATTCAGAATCAATTAAAATGTTGGCCTTCTGTTCCCAGTAAAGATTTGTTATAATTTGCAATTCATTTCTATCAATTCCTTTCTTCCTAAGTATATCTATTAATTTATCATGCAGAATTCTATCAAATGCTTTTTCGTAGCCTATAAAACAGGCGTATATATCCTTGTTAACTTCTAAACTTCTTTCTACCAGAATTCTATAAGCAAAAAGAACTTCTCTTGTTCCACAAGATTTTCTAAACCCAAACTGTGTGTTGCTTAAATCTTCTTCACATTTTTTATATATTCTTGTATGAATTATTCTTAAACAAAAGCTTAACCGAACCGTCTATAGCCGAGTACAGTGGAGACTGATTTCTTCGTATTATTAATGTAATAAAGACAGAAATTTTTCCAGTTCAACGAGAGTCACCGAAAAGTTGTAAATTTTGGAAATTTCTGAGGGCACTTGATCCTAAAACGAATTACAGTAGAGCATCGATTATCCGACTCAATTGGGGACAAGGGTTGGTCGGATAACTGAAAAAAACGGGTAACCGAAAAATATAAAAAAATACATTATTAGTACAGTATATTAATATATCCCATGTAATTAGTATATTATTGATAGTATATCGCTATTAATCTACTTCGCGTTGAATTTTCATCGATGTTAAGCCTAATGTGAGGCTCTGGACAGGTCCGAACCCTCACTAAAATTCGCGTTAAAATAATTGTTTTAGAGAAAAAAAATATAGTAGTTAGAAATAGATTTTATTTTATGAAAGCGAGACGCTAATTTTTAAACAATAGAAGAATGTAAGTCCGTCGACCATCTCCGGTTGGAGATCGAATTAAACTTCGATTTTGACCTCTCCCGCGCCCCCGAAAGGTTTCGAATTGCCATCAGGTGACGATGAGAGACCAATCGGAAAGGGGAATCTGAGAAAAAACGGATAAAACCCCGGAAATTCAAGGACGCGACGGCTTCTTCTCCCGAAAGTTCCAAGTGACGGATCTGTTGCTGTGTGTGTGTCTCGCGCCCATCTTCGTCTCCATCTCCGACCTCCGATCGACATCTTTCCATCAACGGAAGTCGACCGCATCGTCCTGGAGTCGTCGAGACGTGATGGAATTGTTCATTCGCGAACAAGGGACACTCCTTCAAATGGGACTGTCTTGGAAAGGAGAGGAAGACCCAGCGGCCGCAACCGCCGCAGAACTTCCAAGATCGCGGAAATCTTGTAAGCTTCTTTCGTGTTTTACGAGTATAAACGGTTGTGTTGTTTGTAAACGAAGCATCTATCTCTGACTCAACTGCTTCCACACGTTGTTGATTGTTACCGCTCGGCAATCCAAACGGCAAGGGAGACGATGACGATATATATCACATATTATCGTATAGGGCCTCTCGGCCCCCACACTAACAATTTTTTAAAAAAATAATAATCGTCGCTATTGTATCTTTAAAAATTAGAAAATTAAGCCTCGTTCAAATACTGGCTCCCTTTCATGTTCGAGCCAGTGTTTCTAGCTAAAACACGTAAAAATAATATTAAAGTAACCAAGACATACAAAATATTGTAGCGCCACATCACTAGCGGACATTTCAATTTGCCGACTAGAACGCGGTCGGTTAAATTCTAATTTCGACTCACCAGTGATAAAACTTCAAATAGCTGAGTGGGTAAATCCATTGAACACTGACAGTTTCTTACCAACAGGCTGGTCATGTAGTGTTTTTTCACGTGTCTTACTCCTAGTGACCAATCTCTCATAAAAGTCTTACAGGAGACATCTTACTTCCCCTTAGCACATCACTGTTGTTGTCTTAGTCCAGGGGTCGGCAGTTTGTCAAGTGAGAAGAGCCAAATTGTCATGAAAACAAGATAACAAAAGTACCAGAGAGCCGCATATTAATTTAAATGTGCGAAATACGACACACGACAGGGGTGCCTTTAGTGGACGTTTTTGGCATAATGTTACACGGATGGACGGACACGCGTTCAATGTGTTATACATACAGATATGCTTCAAATGCTACCACTCTTATGCGACACATATTGATCAACGCGAGTGTGGTCATGTGCAGACAGCGTACGACTCTATCTCATAAAGGCATAAGTTATAAGGCTGCGGTGAAATGAGGTGAGGTGAAATTGGAGTTTATGTCCGAAGAGCCGCTAATTCCGACCCCTGTCTTAGCCTATCAATCAAATTTGTGGATCTTAAAGTTCACATTACATTCTGAGATTTAACAATTTGATTGATTAATTTTCAATCATCAAAGCTTTTACTTCAATTTATAGGAAAAACTAATTGTTCTCAGCTATCAATTTCTAATTTGAAATTATTTTAGTATTATTGAATTATGTTCAATTCATAAAAATTTTGAATAATACATATAAAGACTAAATGTATTTTGTACATTGATGAAGTTTTAATATTTCTGATGCTGTCCTCTTTTGGTGATATAAACCAGGAAATCATTAATTTTTGAATATTCTTTATACCATGTTAATTGTGTATAAAAATTGATCAATTCTCAAAATACAGGATATCTTTTAAACCTTTAATTTGAAACATCAATATAAAATTAATTTGAACTTTATTACATTCAAGGTTTTAAAAAAGCAATATATTTTAATATCTGTGATGCATTAATCAACAAAATTCTCAATCTGTTTCTGGATTTAAAAGTAAACAATTTTTTTAATTGAAACAAAGAATGACCAAAAAAACTTTTATTGCACAATAAAAATCAGATTTAACAAACACAAATTACAATACTTATTATGTATTTGGAACTGTACAACTGAATACAAAAAGTAAAATAATAAAAGAAAGCAAGCTAACTCTTCAACAATACATAATTGACATTTTTTTTAATTATTATATGATCCTAATTTAGTGTTATTTACATAAAACTTAAATAATTGTGTACGAAACAATTCTTTTGGAAAAATACTAATTTTCATTGAATACCATCAATTGTTGCTGTACATGCAAGTGGAACTCTTTACTCAATCCCAATTGATAAATTGGGTACCCGAGATATTAACAACTAACATTGGAAATATATTCCATAACAAAACAAATTGTTGTGTTACAGGTACGATTATATTTTCGTTTTTTTTTTTTAGGCAATTTTACTATTACAAACTAGTTAGCGGCTTGCATATCAAGTTTGTAAAAGTTTTGTCATTCTATTGATTTCATTATTAATTTATTTACTTACTTTTTTTTTTTTATAAAGGCAACATTGCTGTAGAACATAGAACATAGATGTGACAGAGAAGCAACCGACTTGGCACTAGGGAACTGCTTGATGAAATCACTTATTTGTGAGGAAGATATTAACGTAACTATTCTTTATTCCAATTAGTTTAGATGGGACAACTTAAGTAGATGCCATTTTTATAATTTTTGGTGGATATTCAAGCTTATCATATATATATTTATATATATGTATTTACTCACAAAAATATGAATCACACATCAAACCCACTCCTCAGCAAAACTACATATTTACATATCTATACTGATTTTTTAAAAAAAATCTCATAGCTGCTAACATCAATTATTCTAAAATTTCATATGTGCAGAAATGGACATTATAATGCGATTTCTTTTTAGCTGACTGTCACGTTTTTTCGGCATTTTACAAATAGCAGTTGAAGACAAATGCTTCAGAGATCATTCGAATATAAAAAACAAGACAAACATAAATGTTCAATTTTTTGAATTAGTTAACACATTGCAAATCATTTTATAAAGAAAAACTTAGCTAATACATAGTAAGAATATAAAACATTTTAAAAATTAAGAACATTCACCTTAATAATCCAGAAAAATTTTTAATTAAATATTTTCGGCCTTTTTTAAAAAACCATCTTCAGATTATATAGCTTCTCAAAAAAGAATATTGAATATTCGAATACATATAAAATTCAATCAATCAATTCTAATTACATAAAAGGTATCAGTAACAACATCCAAAACACAATTATAGTTACAATATTAATACAAAAACAGGATTTTCCTTCACTTTTGTGGGTTAAGAACATTTTCATAAACATACAATAGATGATCACAGCAGAGCATTGTTTTTTTTTCATTTTATTTTGCTGAAGCAATATAAATTATAAACATTGTTTCATAATAAATATGATTACAGTAAATAAAAAAAGTTTTAAATACTTAATATTTTATAAATAATTAGATAACATTATGAAAAAGATATTGATTACATTATAAAGCACAGCATATACATATGAGAAAATGCTCAGTATAAACTAAAATTTAAAAGTTAATATTTGTGTCCCTTTAATTTTATTCATAAAATAATTTTGTATATTTAAGGCTATATAATAAAAACTTAAGTTGTAGATTTATTTTATGTTTACACTTCATCTGATACATGTGAAACAGATTAAGTTGGAAGTTTCAATAAATGTGCTTTTAAATATACTTAAATTTTATATTCCAACATGATCAGATGCATCAGTTTCTTTATACACCGATGTGCTGCTTTATATAATTTATTTGTAATTTAACGATTTGCGTGATCATTTATTGAAATTCATCATCAGAACTTAATAAAGTAGTTTTTTCATTATATTGTTGACTTATAGTTGGAATTTGACGGTTCTGCGGATTTCCACCGCGGCGGGGGCAACGACTACTGCGATCGCCATTATCGTCATCCACACTTCCTGTTCTCATTCCATGTACATTAGACCATGGACCAAGATGTGGTGGCGGAGGTGCAGTATACTGAGTATACTGTTGATACTGAGGATGAAAGTTATGTATGGCATCATTCATAATATCTTTTGGGTTCATAGTTTCCTGTAATATAATATGTATAATTTTATTTCATGACAAAGTTTGTTTTTTAAATTAAATAATATTTTTCTAACTTATTTATTCTAAAATATTAACAAACCATTTACTCAATTTACAAGTTGAAATTTACTTATCTGTATTTAATTTAATTATGACTAAGTAGTTAAATCATTCTTTTTTAATTAATTGTTGTTAAGCCATAACATATTCAATTTTCAGAACTAACATTATTTTTTTATAAAGCTGCCCCATTGTGAGTTTGGCTAGGCCCACATTGGGACAGGGCCTGACACTGTATCTGGAAAGACCATTCCCTAATAATTCCTGGAGTTTTTTCACCTGTCTGGATTCAATTACTATTAAAATAGTTTGATGCAATTTATATGTTTTTTCTTCTGGAAAATCAGATTTTTTTTGGTGGAATAAAAATTAATTCTTTTTCAGAAGAATTAATTTTTATTCCACAAATATTCATTACAAATTTTACTTATTTATTAAATTGCCAAACATTTTAATTTATTCAAATAAAATAGGCCAAGAAATTGTGTTGTGACTACTAATATTCTTGCAGAACCCACAAGCAATTCCCTTGAATTTTTATGTGTTTCTGTGTAACAATTAGTCTTAATTTATGTGAAGTTGTAATACGACTGAAGAAAATGTTTAAATTATTTTCTCCATGCTGCCACTCTAGTAGGATATGAATAATGTATCTATACAAGAACACTGGGAATGATGAAAAAGATGTATGGAATATTTGTTCTAACCGCTTTGTAACAATTTCTGATAAGTGACTTTTTGGCAGAAATTGTTATGAGCTAGAAAAATAAGGTATGTGTATTTTTGTTTACACAAGTGATATCAAATACCTTTAACTATATCCAATATTGCAACCTAATACAGGTTGCATTATTGGACACAGTTGTTGAAACAGTTATAACTAACTAACTGTTTCATATTTCATTATTATTAATTTTTTAACATTAAGCAAACATTTGAATTAATTTCATCAATCCAATATACCAAATTAGATACTAACATTAGCTGATGGATTTCTGAAGGAATTAATAAATTAATCTACAATTTTTTCAAATTGCAGCCCAACAAAAACTTAACAATTATTTTGTTTTACAGTTTCAATGGAATTGAACAATGAATTCTAACATAATTATAACCAAAACAAATTTCTGTGAAAATTACAAATTAATCACAAAAAAATCATTAAAACTTCCAATTTTTTTTAACTAAAATATTTGAGAATGCTTCTAAACAAAAATATAAAGTTACATATATTAACTTTAAATAATTATTCAAGTATGCTTATAAAAACAAACATACATTTATGCAACTAAAGTTTCAATACTTTATAATATATGCAATTAAATTTAATTACTATATTGGTTAAAAATAAGATATTGGAAAGATATGAAAAAACTAAACAAAACTCATTTAAAAAATTATATAGTAGTAATAATTATAATAAAATGACTTGGTAATTCATAAAAGGCTTAAAATCTTGATCCAAAGAACAATTCCTTATAGGATATAAGTGTAAAGGTTAAATGCTCGGAGTTGTTTTATTAATGATAGAAAAAGCAATAAGTCCTTAACTTTGCTGTTGTATTACATTTCTAAGTACAATAAATAACAAGTTGATTATTTGTTGTTTTTAAAAAGTAGCCAATGTAAAGTTTTACATAACAGAAAATTGAATTTTTCTTCTTGATAAGTTCTTTGGTGGATCAAACAGTAAACAAACTGAATAGTAATTAGACAAACATTCAAAAATTCTTGGCCAAATTATTTATAATTTATGTGCATATAAAAACAATTGTTTAGTGACTTTCAAAATATTTCATTTCAATTTTATAAATTATGTTAAAAAACTAATTAATTGAATTACATTTAAATGTTTCCAGAAAAACTTTTAAAAAAATATACAAAAATAGATATTAAGTAATTAAAAAAGTCATCAGTTTATCCAAATTAAATGTTTTTAAATCATTATTAGTCTCTATCAGATCTGTAGTTTCAATGATTTAAATAGATAACAACTTTTTAAAAAGAATTCTAATTGCATTACAAATTTCAAATGTTCCAAAAATATAAAATACTAAAATATCAGAAATATAACTATATATATAATAACAAAAATAAACTTAATAATATAGAGTAATATTAAAAATGGATTAATATTCATCCAAGAATTAGAGAATAGAAAATATTTAAATAAGAGATGAGAAAGTAGCTTTCTTGACCTGTAGATGTGGGTCCTGATAGAAACAAGACATCAGAAATGACTTATCATATTTTCATGGTTGTAACCATGGGCTGTGTTTTAAAATATAATTTAAAAAGGGGATTGGGTTGGTTATGCAATATGTTGGTCATATAGCAAACTTTAAATTGCAATTACACTTATAGGGAATGGCTGCTCCCAGAAACAATCTTTAACTCACAGTGGAGTGAGTTAAAGATTTTATTTTTGTTCTAACAATTTTCTGCAGATTTTATGCATAAAAATATGGTACTGTCTATGATTACTGCATGTTGTTATTTGTGATTTAGTCATTTCATTGAATATAGCTGAATCACAAATAACAAGCTTCAATTGTTTCAAGCCAATTTTAATTGTTCTGAAAATAATCTTAAAAAATATCATGGTTAAGTGACTTTAGAGGTTCTACATAAAATTTTTACATGTCAAAATTACTATTTTATATACAATCTTAAAAATGAAGTAGAGAGCATTCAAAAACATTTAAAACTTAAAATATATATATATTAGTTGTATAAGTTTCTTATACTAGTTACATAAAAATTCTATATTATATTACATGTTATGTAGTAGTACAAGATATTTTAATTTAATTTTTATGTAATTTAAGAGAAATAAAACATGAGAAATATTTCTAATGCTAATCACAATGTTATAACCACAAAAAAATCCATGATGGATAAGGATAAAATATAATTGAATTTTTTAAAGAAATTATCAAATTAAAAAATTATTCATACTTTTAAGCTGCTGGAAATACTCTGCATTGTAACTGATCTTCCTTGTGAATCAGTATGGCACCCTTGATACACTTGATATGGAAAGGCATACCGTAATGCAAGTGCAGCAAAAAACATTTCAATACAAATAAGAAAATTCTGATATCCTGCAGAAACAGTCCCTGCACTTGCCATAGAAATACCTTTATTGGAATAAATTTGGGAAATTACGCCAGCCTTTTCCAAAATGGCTAATACAACACCTAAAAATAGAGAGTAAAAGGAAAAATATATATAAATGGTTATTTTCAAATATGTTTGAATTCTGTCATTTAACTAATATAATATGAGGGTGAGTCAAAAAGAGTAAGAATGATTTTATTTCTCACAAAATACAATAGGCAGAGACCAGGTTGATATGGTCTCCATTGAATTGTATGCAATTGGCCTACATGTCTGCCAGTCCTAGAAGACATGCTCAAACCAGTCTTTTCACATTGTCTTCAAAACTGCCTTCAACTTCTTCAGAATGGCCTTCAGTTATGAGCTGGAATGCTGGCTCTGCAGCTCCAATTTCAGACATGTTATGCAGAGCAAGGTCCAGGCTGTACGGAGAGTGCAGCACACATTCAATGTTTTGTTGAGCCAAATATTGGACAACACCATTGGCAACATGAAAGCATGCATTATTGTGGTGCAGGCACCAACCAGATGGATGCAGCTCAGGGCATTTTCATCAGATGTGTTTGGCCAAGGTCTTCAAAACTATCACATAATATTGCCCAGTAATTGTTGTATGCTGGGTATGTTGCAAACTATTCCATGGTAATAGGAGGAGGAAATTGCCATTACCTTTTCCACAGACTGAACAACCTTGGTCTTCTTTGGTGCTGGAAAACTGGGTGATTTCCAGACTGTGCATGCCTGTTTACTTTTTAGATTGTAATGGTAAAGCCAACTTTCACCACCAGAAATGATGGAATTCAAGTAGGACTGGTTGTGCTCTGCTATCAGATGCTGAAGTTCCTGATACTGATACATCTCCACTCATATCTGCTTCTGTTCAGGCATCTGAGATTGCTCTCAGCACCCATTATGCATAGATCGGTCAAGTGCAAGTGATTATGCAGAATTGTGAACACACTAACATGGAGAATGTGTAACATGCCTACCAGTCCATCCAGTGTTATTTGATGATCTTGAACATTGGCAGTTGTGTTAATCATGATCCTATTCACTGTGGTTGCTGGAGTATTTAGACTGCTATGCTTAATGGTCAAAATATAGCCCTCCTTAAACTGTTTGAACTACCAAAATGGAGTTGATTGCGGAAGAACATCTTCACTGTATGCTTGCTGCAACATTTTTATGCTTCTGTGGCAGATTTCTACAGATAGATGCAAAATTTCTGTGTACATCACAAACCAACTCCATTTTCTGTATGAGACTGCTGATGGATGACTCATGCATTATCAGCACATTGCTACCAGATGCATGCATATACCTGCTTACAGTTGATTTTGCTAATCCCACAAAACCTGCTCTTCTCACAAAAACTTGTTTGATTGTTGTATGTCCACTACATAAAACAAGAAACAATCACTACCTCCTTTTTTGACTTGCCCTTGTATTTTTACAAATTTCAGTTTGCAAATCAAAACTCTTATTTAAGTATATAATATGAAATGGAAAAAATATTTTATATTTCACTATTAAAGACAACTTACATAATATTATATAATTATATTAAAATAAACTTAATTATTTCTAATATATATTATACAATTTATAATCACATTGATAATTTTTACCATTTATGAAAATTTCAACAGGCAATTAATATTGTCTACTAATAATAGTCTAATAAATTTATGATTTATGTGGAATCTAAGAGATGCCTAGAAATTTCTACATAGTTTTCTGCAGGAATTTTTTCTATCTTTTCCACAATAATATTACAATAGTAATTGCTTAGCATGCAATTTCCTTGAGCTGTGCAGTGTCCTCCTTGGAATAACTTTGGGTTTCAACACCAATATAAAATAGTTCTCAAATATTTATCATAATTACTTATAATTTTAATTATAAACTTCCTAACATCATATGTGCAAGAATGAAAATGAAGTGAACAGTTACAAACTGAAAGAGCCTACTGAACCAATAAACAAGAATTTTGCATGTTGCAATACACTCCAATATGTGTAATTGTAGGTGGAAACAAGTATTTGCAGACTGAAACATACCAGACCATGGGTAAAATATTGATGAGCCAATTTTGCCTCATTGTTGGTTATTGGAAGCAAACTGAATATCTCATTAAAAAAAGTATTATCCATTCCCTAAGTAAAATTTTTTTAATGATGCTGTGAGTGAAAATTCATTTTTATGAATGATAACAGGACATCATCATCTGTAATTTTCAATCTAAATCCCATTGAACATGCATGGAATGCTGTAGGAAAACAAGTTGCATCCTTTTAACCTCACCAAGAACATTCCGAGCTTCAAAATTCTCGTTTGAGAATGGACTTTGCTGGTAAATGATGTTATACTAGCATAAATAATTGCTGTGCAGTATATGTGATCATACTGTATCATATGCCATATTAATCATTTTCTGTGCAAACAGATTTACAACCCTCAGTACTTTTTCTTGTGGTTTTTGATTTGATATAGTTGAAATTAAATTTTTGGTCTTTAATTGTTTATTTGCATAAAGGCTAAAACATTCTGGTTATATGTTAAATTTCACACTGTCATGATCAGTAATTCCTGAGATATATGCCAAATTAATCCTTATGCTTATTTTTTTGGACAAGAGTGTAATCTGATAATGGCTATTTAAGACAGCTGAAAATATGTTATAAAATTATATACTGCTAAATTAGAAATTTTCTGTTTTGAATTATTTTCATCTAATGTGTTGGTTTTTATTGTTTAGATCATGGAATAATTTGGTATAAGTTCATAAGTACTTGAAATTTTATATATATTGACCTAGTCATGATGATACACAATTTTCAAAGGTTTGCTTAAAAAAACAAGTTAATTTCATAAATTTAAATGACTATTTTTATTTAATCTAAAAAAACACTGCAATCTAGAAACTTCTAAAAATTTTACTGATAAGAAATCAGTAGAATTTAATTTCAAAATGCAAATTAATATCAGTTCTCATATCATAATCATAATTAAAACAATGCATAGCATTTTAAATATAAGTGTAAAACAATAGCAAATACAAGATAATAAATTTATGAAATTTCATCATTTTCATATTTTAATGTAAGGAAAAGAAAAAATTATTTATCATAACAATGTACAAAGTAAACAAGAGTAAATAAGAACTGTATTGAATACAATGTAAAAATGTCACTTGAAATATTATATTATATGTAATAAAACTTTTATAAATACAAAAATTGACTTTCATAATAATTGGACATTAACACCATATTGAATAAAAAAAATCTTATAATAGCCAATATAAAAAATTTCTTGAATAAATAAAACAACCAGAAAATATTTTCAATTCTTGGCTTTAATGCTGTTAAATACTGAATATTCATTTATAGTGCCTCTAATATATGTAATCACACTCTGAAAATACACAATGCTTAATAAACTCTAATGTAATTTGAAATTTTTATTTTCATTAAGAACTTTATATTATTTATTGAAAAATTCAAATACTAAACTAAGACACTCATATGCAGAATACCACAAACTTTAAAACATAACTTTGGTCCATTCAAATTCAAAGCATTTAGATATAATTACAGTCAACCCCCCCTATAACACTGTTGATAATTCTGTTTTATATGAATTCCATGTTGTACGAGTCACTTAGATTTTACAAATTCATGTGCCAGGCTGTGAACAGCTCATGTATTTGTAAAATCTAAGTGACTCGTACAACATGGAATTCATATAAAATGGAATAATCAACAGTGTTATAGGGGGTCGACTGTATTGTGTTACTTTCTTAATTTAACCAAATTCTAAACAGTTTAATTATTCTGAATGAAAAAAATGTTCTTATTAAAAATTTTATAGCATCAAAAAAAAAAAAAAAACTCTTTATAATTTCTAACAAATAGTACAAGTTATTTAAAACAATTTCAAAGCTTTTTATCTTCCAGGAAAAAAACATTTAAAATATAGAATAATAAATTAAATATTTCTTATTTTTTTTTAAATTATCATTTTTACCTAGGCAAATACAAATGCTTATAGAATTATAACTAAATAAATCTTACCTTGCCAGAAAGAAAGAAATATAACAGATTTTACTGTGCAGAATTTCCAAACTGGTTCATAAGGAGATAACAGTTCTTTTGTAGCAAAGTAAAAGAGAACCATGCCATAAAGTGCTAAAGTAACACTTATGTTGTAAATAATTGTGATGTATAAGTAACCACTGTCAGGCCTAGAAATATTATAAAATAATTTAAATAGTGAAATCATCAAAAACAACTTTTTAATAAATTAAAAATATAAACTCATTAAAAATTAAATTTAATCATAACTAAATATTATGAAAACATTTTGTTTATTCTGATTACAGTACAATCCACTTTTTATAATCACAGATAATTTGTTTAATGTTATCAGAATCAGCACATTCCAAAATATACAACTTAAAATACATTTATAAAACTTCACTTGTTGAAACTAATGTTCAGTTATCATCATCAATTTTAGGTAGTTTCAAACTTACTTTTGACATCAGTCTTAACTTGTGCTTTAAACATTAAACATTTTAGTTATTATTTTCTTGCAGTACAACAGTTTAAATTTATGACATTTCTTACTTTAATTATCTTAGCTAATTATATAGTCAAACCTGTCATTAACAGAAAATTTCTTTGGTCCCTTAAATTTTATGCAAAAATTAATATAAATTAACCTGCATATAGCTAAACCTGTCCAGTGCAGAAATGAAAAGGAAAATCAGGCTGTTGAACAGAAAAATTGGTATATTTATCTGATTTAACACAAATATAACAAGAAGTTTCCAAGCCTAGCAAGTACAAATTATAAAAAAGTAAAAAAAAAAAATACACATACCCAATACAGAATAGCAAAATACAACTACTATATTACAGTAATTTTATTAGGATTTGAACAAAGTTTTTGCATATTTTTATTAACAGCTGTTTTTACTTAATATAAATATATGATGTAATTGTAGTTGTGAAATTTAACACATCAAATATGATGTGAGATTGTATTCTTTGTTTTGAAGCTTATTTTGAACTTTTTTACATCGCATTTCGTTGAATAAAATCAAGTTGAAATGTCTGCAGATAAAGTGCACCCGGGTATATTATGCATGCATTTAATTTTTGTAAAGGTTAACATGCTATACAAACAGTAAAAATATTCATACTGTGTATGGGGAAGATGTGTCTAAATTCCAAATGTGGTTTTGAAAGTTTTGTTCGGAAAATTTTGAACAGATTGATGAATAACAACTCATGAATTTGCAACAAATCTTAGTGTGTCACAGATACATATTGTTTTGAAACACTTCATCCACTTGAAATGGTTGTAAAACACACTGCATGCGGAACACAATCATCAGTTTGTTTTTTTTTCCAATTATGAAAAAAAAAAAAAAAACAAACTGATGAAAGACAAATAAAACATGAAAACATGTTTTATTTGTCTTTTAACAAGGTCAAATGACCTTAGTCTGAATGGTGACCAGTCTGCAAACTTCCCTTTATTTTCCAACATGCCTTAATGAAAGGTGTTCAATGTGTGAATCCAGATGAAAAGCAACTATGCTCAGCCCTTGCTGAAAGAAAGGTTCATTTACTCTTAATCCTTTGTACACACTATAGCCAATATGTTGCCACCTCATGGAGGGAGAGAGAGATACAACTGTACAATTATTTTACAATTTTCATTTGATCATGGAGTCCAATGAGCATCCATATTGGTAGGTTGATATGTGGTCACTGTTGGATTGTCCACTTTTGCTTGTTTGTTGTTCCTAGCACTTTTCCTGTTCTCTGTCCAAATCACAAATGCTGAACTTCTTTGTCTGCATGTTTTTTCATGGGTATATCTAATTCCCTTGACATTTCCCCAAATGACTTCAGGTATCCAGATGATAAACAGTCAGCAGTGGCATCTGCAGCCTAAAAAAGGGCATCATACATTATGCTAGGAGCTTCAAACTCTGATTCAATGTCAGATCAGCATATTGGTTGCACTGAGGGCTAACTTGTTCTTGAAAACAAAGAATGGTGTTTTGGTCAACATATGATGAAGTTGCATGTGCCAATGGAGAAATAATATTTATTAGTTTGTTTTATATTTGCAGAATAGGCTAGAAGTCACAAATTTTCTGTTGTTTGGAGATTTTTGGAGATTAGGAAAAGAGCAACGAAGATGAAAAAGGATGGGCATATGTCCTAATGTATGGGCGCACACCTGACAGTCAATCTTTTCAAAGAAACATATCCCATAAGTGAGTGTTTAGTAGGTAATGTTGATGATAATATGATACTCTTTAGTTATAACTCACTATGTTCCCATGATAGTGACAGAGATTACTGCTGGAATCTTATGAATTATTTTATTATTATTTTTTAATTCTAGAATCAAAAACCAGAATTTTCACTTATTAGAAATTTATATAGTGATCCCACCTAATGTTGGTTATTTTAAAAATGATAAAAATAAAAAAAAATCTTCAAAATGTGTATCTACATAAAATTCTTTTAAATGATATAACTGTTTCAATGTCTGTTACATCACTTGAAAGAATTTTATCAAAATTTTCATTCCTAAATTATTACATGAACAAATACAAAAGTTAAATTCTTCTGTATTCATTTTGTTTAGAAATTTAATTGACTAGTTTTATAACAAAAATAACTAATTCACTCAATGTAAATAGAGAGCAAAAATAAAGATTTACCTCCAATCACCATCTGAATAACGTCCAAATGGTTGTAGAATGAGTATAATGACAGACATCAGTGGTTTCACAGCACAGAATTGTAATGTTGCCTAAGTAAAAAGAAACTTATATAAAGTACAGTAATATACTTTGAAACATAATGCTAAACTGATGAAAAAAAATAATAATAATAATTCAATATTTTACAGTAAGTGGCATTTAATTTCTTAGGCTATCTTATGAACCCAGTCATGCATAACTATTTTTAAAGAAAATTTGAAACTACGGTAGAGCATCATTTATCCGGATCAATTGGGGACTGGGGTTGTTCGGAAAATCAATATTTTGGATAACCGATTATGTTCGAAAAAATATATTAACCTATCCCATGTTGAAATTTTTCTCCATTGCGTGTCGCTTTGCGTTGAATTTTCGTCGATGTTAAGCCTAACGAAGACTATTGTATCGTTAAAAATTATTTTTTTATTTTGTACAAACAAAATAAATATATTGAAAATTATACTTCAGAAGTTAATTTAGTATCAAAAACGTAAAATATTTGAGTAGCCCAAGACATAGCCAAAGATTGCAGTGCCACAGCACTGGCGAAAATTTAAATTTGCCGACTGGAATTCTTTCGGATAAACGACACACTACTGTAGATATATGTGTGCAATGGTAATGACTATATAATGCATAGTTTTAAACTACAGTAAAAATTTCATTATGTACAATATACAGGTACTGTACATAAAAAAATTTACTATGTGTAAGGACCTGTATATCATACATAATTATCCAATTCATGCATGGCATTTTTTTAAAAAGGATGATAACTATATAGTTAAAGAACCATTACTTGTTATTTAAACACTTCTCTATTGAACAATTTATTCTAATATAGTAAATATCACAATAAAAAAGTGCTTGCTAATCATGCAAATATACCTTAGCAATTTAAATAAGCAAGCACCCATTTAAAATATATTCCACAGATGTTTTTAAAATACAATAAAAATTTTTTATTTCAAAACTAATGTTTTAAGCTGAAAACTAATCATGATGTCATATTAAAAACAAAGAAGCAGTGATCATGAAGTTTAACTTTAAACATTTTTTCTTTACTTTCACTGAGCACATCATATTTGTGTAATATTTGGTTCAATGAAATGATTCTTTCTCATACTATAACATTAAGTGAATTAAATAAGTGAAAAGTTAGTTTACTTATTAAATTTGTTTTATCGTTACTGGATTCAGATGTTTTTGAGTTAATTTTAGCGGCAACGATAAAGAAGTAATTAATACAAAGTTTACAATATACAGTTGTAATTTGTAGTACTATTTATGATGCATATCATTCCATTCATGGGGTGCTTACATTCTATCATATATCTACATTCCACTCATAAACTGACTACAACCAATAAACTTCTTTTAATAAATTATTTGTAATACATTACAATAAATGATAAGAAAATATTTGAAATAAATAATGTATAATTATTAAAATATTCAATTTTCATTTCTAGACATTTTACCAATAGAGGACAATTCAAATTCATTATAAGTATATCCAGTAAATTAGATCATTACTCAAAATTAAGATATATATATATATATAATAGCAGGCTAAAGTCAGCATGGTGTTGTCAAAATATTTCAATAAAGTTGATATCCTTTTGGATAGGTTAATTTATTAAATTTCTAAATTTTACTGATGTAAAAAAAAAAAAAAAAATTATGAAGATGTGTTACTTAACCAACTGATATAAAATAAGGGTTATATAAAATTTAGTTTTATTATAGTAATACATGAAGTGTAACAATAAAGTTTCTGAACTGATTAAATACAAATAATAAGTATAATAAAATTATTTTATTACATAACTCCATCAACATAATTCCCTTGTGAACTTAGACAAGCTTTGCAAAAAAAATTTTTTTGTATTCCCTTCAACCTGTCTGTTATATTTTTCTAAATGGCTAGCATATCATCATAAATCAAAATGACTTTAGAATTTTAATTTTAGTTTAAGAATAAAAGTAAGTCTGTTGGGATCAGATCTGACAAGTAAGGGATGCCAGAGCATCACCACCTCTCTTTCTCAAAAGACTATATGACAATTGCCAATAAATACAGTAGGCAGGGATGGTGAACCTATGGTACATTAATGATTTACGGTGGTGTAATTTCAAACATTTATAGATTATTAAAATCTTTTTGGCAAATTCTTGAAAAATTTTGGAATAAAAAATTTATTGTAAAACAATTTTATTTCTTTTTAATTTTAACTTATGAATATAAATTATGAACTTTTACTACTTTGTATACATATTATTAACTTTATGAAAGAACAGTTGCAGTACATTGTTTAAATTTAATATTAGTCCTGACATCTAGTAAGCCATACCAGAGAAACTTTATTGTTTTATATAAAAAAACTACTTTAAATACATACAAATATTTTTTCTTTTGTTATGACTGACTATAATTATTAAACATTGAATTATTTTGTCAGTACCTTTTGAAATACTTGAATACAGAATACTCGAAAAAGAAAAAAAAACTTAAAAATCTTAGTAATCATTACTTGAATATACTAGTAATTAATTGTACAGTTTCAATTATTGTTTGGATATTGAAATAAAAAGCAGTGACAAGTTTTGTGTTTTGTTTTTAATGGAAGTGTGAATTATAATTATAAAGGTAATTTAATTTAGATATATACTAATATATAGTGGAACCTCAGTATACAACCTTAATCGGTTCCTGATGTTTGGACTTAAACCAAACAGGACATATACCAAACCAACATTTCCCATAAGAAGTAATGTAAAAATGATTAATCCGTTCTCATGTAAAAAAAATGACTGGCTTTAAACACCTCGCTTTCCTGGCTAGTTCATACTTGATTTTTCATGAGATCAGCATGTATTTTTTTAGCTTTCTCGCAAGTAATTGCTTCTGATATGCTGTCACCAGCACACTGTTTTTCAGTTATCCAAAGCAAAAGCAATTTCTCAATATGATCTAATGTTTAGAAATTGATTTAACCCCTTTCAAAATGTTAGCAGATTTAATAATGTCTTTATTTTTCACAATTGCCGATATTGTCATTCACAGAATACGGTATGCAACAGTTAAATCTGGAACACGCATGCCACCTTCATATTTCTCAACAATCTCTTTTTTCAGTTCCATTGCGATTCTAATCATTTTTTTATTTTTCTGTTGCTTTTCATTTGCCTTTTTGCAATTCATGTTTAATAAAAATAATAAAATTTTACTTACAAATTAAAATCAGAAGAAATTTAACAAAGTTATAAACCGTGGCACCGTGAATGTCTAGTCTTGTCTAGTACACCGATATTGCTACTTGTTCATAGATGATGTGTATAATTGAATTAAGTCGTATAGTGAACAAAAGTTGTATACTGAGCAAAATTTGTTTCGTCCAAACAGGACGTATTCTGAATTGGACGTATTCTAAAGCAGATGTATACCGGGGTACCACTGTATTATGTTTTAAAACTATAAAAATTTATTTGATTTTAATTTCAAATAAATTTGCTAAAAATTGTTTCTTAAAATGGCCAATGAAAATAAAAAGCAAAACTTAGCAGAATCAAGCTGCAGAGAGTTTCAAGTTTAGTGGACTGAAAAATAAGGAATGATGAGCAAAGACAAAGCACTTTGTACTTCATGTTCTGAGGAAGTTGTATGCAGAATGTCATCAGTAAAACAGCATTATGAGACAAACCATAAATTGCTCTTTGAGAAAAACAAGGACAAACAAAGAATTTATTGCTCAAGCAATCAAAAGTAGAAATATTCAGTAAATAACTCTAATGAAATTTATCAACAGTTGCTCAAATATAACTGCTGCTAATTTCATTGCTTCAAATATAACTGTACAACACAGGAAACCTTTTAGTAATGGAAAATATATAATCACTATACCTTAGTGATTTGAAATGAATATATATTATAGTGTAAATAAATAATGTTACAAATACTTGCATAGCCAATTTAGTAAATAATGTGAATCTAGACAACTGAAATTTGGAACAGAATATTGTACCACAATACAATGATCTTTTGTTTAAAAAGTTTTAGTTTAATTTAAATAATTTTATATTTTTTAATATAAACTTTGTTGTTATTTTTAATAAGGTAAATATTATGAGAAACTTTTTTTTTTTATCATAAATATAACATGCTTCTTTTTTCTACTCAAGTATCCCCATCAACATATTTGTAGACTCCAAGATTGATGTTTGAAAAACATTGCATTACTCAAATTATCTTGGATACAAAAATTTATACAGTAGTGTTTCAGTACTAATAGCTATGCTGATCAGTGTTGAGAAAGATCTTTGAATGTTTCATTGTAAATTACTGACATGTTGATTATGGATTTTTTTCCTGCTAGTTTCTTTCTCTCCTCTAATCAGATCAAAAATAAAAATATTTATATTTTCCAATTATTTCATCGCTAGAAATTAAANTCAATAATGGCAAATAACTAGCTCTAATAAATTTCTCTCAATTTTTCAAAACTGTGGTACAAGATTCTTTTTATCATTTTAATCAAAGATATTTAAGTTAAATATTTAAGTAAATTGAAAAATCTAAGTTATTTAATTATTATTAAAAATTTACCTGTTTGCAGAATCTTAAAAATCCAATTGTGTACGTCTTTCCTGATAGACAGCAAGTACCATACCACCAACTAGACCTTCAAAACAATATAGTTTCAATTTTAAGTATTTTGTTATACAGTATATATTTTATACATTATTATTTGTATAAATAATTATAACACATTAATAACAAACACAGGATAATTTAAATATAGTAAATAAATTAAAAATTTATATGTAATATGTAATAATTTATATAAAGTTTCAATTTTTTCCTAATTTTGGAAACAAACCAAATTATTAAAACAACAAATTAGCTATTAAAGTTAACAACTATATTGCTGTTCAATCATACATATTCTAAGAATTTAAAATTAATTCATCAATACCGAAGTAGTTTGTACTTGTAAATTAATTTTATATTACAATTTAAATAACACCTTTTAAAAGCATATTGACACAAATATAAAAAAAGGATTCATATTTGCAAATAAAGTTATGCTAGCAAAGCAAGTGCTGGTTATAAGTGTAAACATCCACAGATTTTTCTCAATGACTACTGTACTCTATGTTGCATGAAATCTCTCAGATGCCAGTATTTATTCCTTGAAAAGTTTTATGCACTTGTGTAAACATGTATTTGTGCACTGAAAGAGTGTGAAACTGCATGTCATCCAGGTTAAAAAGTTAGGAAGGCATAAATTTTTCAAATTTTTTAATGAAATTTTAAATACAGTATAATCTCTGAATAGCAGATACCATCAGAACCGAGAAGTTTAACTGCTATTCAGAGGCACATGCCAGAAGCCATATTCTAAATATGGTCAATATAAAGTGAAGAATACAGTGGATTATGAAAATGTCAAATCTGCATTAGTCATGTGAATATATCAAAAAATATAAGTAGCATATATAATTAAAACATATATACAATATAGTATTTATTTTTTCAGCTGTAAAAATCTTGTTTTAAATGAATTTTATTGAATCTCATTTGAATGTCAAGTTATGAAGATAATTTGCTATCCACTTCAAGGTGTGAGAAATATATTCACAACTGTTACATTTATATCATCATTTATGACTAATAAAAATTGATACAGGGATTTGTCTGCTTTGTAATTATCAAGTAGGTGTAGCTTTTCTCAATAACTGATTTATTAAAAATTACACTTTAGCCACCACAAAACAATTACAACAGCAGCATTTGTTTGGTGAAAGTTCAAAGTTTGCTATGAAGGCAATTTGCCAACCACTTTAAAGTATGGAAAGATATTCAGTTTTCTCACATTTATGATCTTAAGTTTCTTTTTCATTACTATTATTCTACAATTCCTGTTGAATGAATGAATAACTTCAGAAAAGATTATAGTTTTTTGGTATTATAAGCTTAATTCCAATAATAAGACATTACAGTAGAGTGTCGTTTATCCAAATCAATTGGGGACTGGGGTTGTTTGGAAAATCGATATTTCAGATAACCGATTATATACGAAAAAATATATTAACCTATCCCATGTTGAAATTTTTCTCCGTTGCATGTCACTTCGCGTTGAATTTTCGTCAATGTTAATCCTAACAAAGACTATTTTATCGTTAAAAATTATTTTTTTATTTTGTACAAACAAAATAAATATATTGAAAAATAAAAAAACAATAAAAAATTATACTTCAGAAGTTAATTTAGTATCAAAAACATAAAATATTTGAGTAGCCCAAGACATAGCCAAAGATTGCAGCGCCAGCACTGGCAAAAATTTAAATTTGCCGACTAGAATTCTTTCGGATAATTGACTTTCGAATAAACAACGCTCTACTGTATATGTATAATAATAAATGATGATTGACAACCAGCTTAAACTTCTTTAACAGATAAAGAATATTGTTCCACTTCTTATAATCTGCCCTCCTCCCAGTCTTTTAGGCCAGTCTTTATTTGATGCCTATGGTCAAAATTCATTGTTTTCACTTTAAAATATTTCATATGTAATTAATTCTTTCAGAATATTGAAGGTGGGACATTGTGTTTTCATAAGATTGGTTATGATGACAGCATCTGTTATTTATAGATAAATATAATAGATATCCTATTTGTAGGGTCTGGTGACTGTAAAAATGTCCATTAAGTACAGGTGTCCGCTATTCAAGAGTATCCCTTAATGGAGGTTTCACTGTATATGAAATGTTGAAAAATGTACTATGGCATCTGTGATGCTATATGACACACAGAGAGTTGACTGTAGATGAAAACTTTGAACCAGACTGGAACGAGGTTAGAATATGTTATTTATCATATAATACTAACATCTTCAATTATTACTAATAATTGAAAATGTTATTAATAGTCTATATCAGGGATGTCCAACCTGCGGCCCGCAGGCTGTACGTGGCCCAAGGCAAGTTCCAATGCGGCCCACCTTATAAACCTTAATAACCTTATAAATGTGTAAACAAAACCGACAAATTTCTTTTATTATTTACAGTCAACCCCCTATAACACTGTTGATTATTCCATTCTATATGAATTCTATGTTATACGAGTCACTTAGATTTTACAAATATGTGAGCTGTTCACAGCCCAGCACACGTACAGTAGAGCATCGTTTATCCAAAAGTCGGTTATCTGAAAGCATTACAGTCAGCAAATTTAAATTTTCGCTAGTGCTGTGGCACTGCAATCTTTGGCTGTATTTTGGGCTACTCCAATATTTTTTTTGTTGGTGTGTGTATTTTAGCTGGCAGCACTGGCACTTTTGTGTGGTGTTTTTGAGGACTGTGTGTCATGCTGAATCGAATGTTTTTGATACTAGATCAACTTCTAAAGTATATATTTTTTGGTTTTTATATTTTTCAATATGTTTATTTTATTTGTACAAAATAAAAAAATAATTTTTAACAATACAATAGCCACGATTATTATTTTAAAAAGTTTTCATTACGCTTAACATCAACGAAAATTCAACGCGAAGCGACATGCAACAGAGAAAAATTTCAACACAGGATAGGTTAATATATTTTTTCGTACATAATTGGTTATCTGAAAAATAAGTTATCTGAACAACCCCAGTCCCCAAATGATTCGGATAAATGATGCTCTGTTGTATTTGTAAAATCTAAGTGACTCGTACAACATGGAATTCATATAAAATGGAATTATCAACAGTGTTATAGGGGGATAGACTGTATTTTATTTATTTATTTATTTATTTCAACTGCATAAACCTCAAAAAAGAAGTTCCACAAAGCCATAAACCTTTATACATATTTTATTTTTTAATAGAAAGAAAATATTTGCAAATACTTGAAATGTGTGAATGAGGAAGGAATACTATATAAAGCTGGAGTCATGACTCAAAGGATTATACCCCCAAATTCGGAGAAAGGAGAGAAAGGCCAAAAGATAAAAAGAAGTGAGAAAGGTTGAAAAATTAAAAATCAATATTTGCATAACAGAAGGTCTATTTAACCTTTCTCATTCTTTATTTTTTGACCTTTCTTTCCTTTCCCCAAATTTGGGTCTATAATCCTTTGAATCCCAACTCTAGCTTTATTTAATATTCCTTTCAGCATTGCAAGATTTGGCTACATTGCGCCAAATTTGGCTACCCTTTTTTTACTTTGGCGTAAAAAATATCAGTTGGCACTTTAGCTACTTTTTGGGCTACATATTATTTATAAATATATTAGTCAAATAAAAATGCACTTTAAAATGGTGTTTCGTTGTTTTTTTTATTAATTAAAGACCCAAATAAAACAAATATTTGTGTTTTTCAAAAAAATTGTTTGTTTGTCTCCTTTATAATAAATAAATTTATCTATTTGTAAGTAGAAATTAAAAGCGTCCGTAGAAGTAATTTTTAAAATATCGTTTTTCGTGATAAAGTTTTAATACCTATTACTATAATCTAGACATGTAAATCCTTAAATATACTTGTATATTTAAGGATTGGGCTACAATATACTTGTGGCCCAGAACTCCATGACTTCTTCCAATGTGGCCCAGAGAAACAAAAAAGTTGGACACCCCTGATCTATATGAATTAAATCATCTACTTCTTGTGATGCTCTAATGTCACATCTTTCTGAAACCTAGAATTATGTAATAAATTAGGTGTCTGCTTCTAAAAGATATTTGTCTTCAAGTTTTTTAAAAATTCGGATTTATTTACTTGTATATAAAAAAATTTAAATTTATATTATAAATGGAGTGTGGATAATTTAAATACAGTAAAGCATCAAAAATCTGAATTAAGCTTTTGAAAAATGAATATTAACCCTTTTAAATTTGTTGTTGATGTTCTTTTTTGGCCTGTGTAGAAAGTTTTACCAGTTTTTTTTACCAAAATTAATCATTCATTAATTAACAGAAAACTCTTTCATTTATGTTTTAAACATATTTTTATAGTACAGCATACAGATTGTGGTAATATAAAAAAATTGCTCAGATAAAAAACAGATAATTTAAATATCATGATTCTACAAATTATATTTAAATTACATATTTGAAAATCCAAACAGATCTAATCCCAATTAGTCTGGACTTTCAACACTTTGCTGTTGAAAATATTTGAATGTACAGGTAGTCCTTCCTTAATGAAGGATTTGAGTAATGCATGAAATTGTGACAATCCCTTTATATATGTGGCAGAAGTTTTAATTAATGCAGCTTAACAGCCGTCTTTACTTAACACAGATGTTTTTCTCAGCAAATAAGATATTGGTGAATTTGCTATTTTCGTGCTGAGGGCAACTTTTGATATAAATATACAGTTTAATTATGATAGTTGTGAAATTTAACACATTACTTCTAATGTGCTATTGTATTCTTTGTTCATAAGCTTGTTTTAGAACTTTACTTTATGTTTTATTTGCTTAAATTAAATTGAAAAGTATGCAGATAAACAACATATCAGGATTATTATGTATGCTTTTTAAGCTTCATAAAGGATATAATTCTATACTAACAGTAAAATATATATATATTTTTTTACTCTTTCCGCCCTGTGGGCACTAAGAGGGCCTCTTATAGGAGGCCCGTTATGGGTTCGGCCAGGACCACAATGGGGCGACCGGGTGATGAGGGACTGGGCCCGATATATCCAAACGGACCACCCTGCAAAAAATTCCCGGGGATTCCTTGACCTGTCTGGATTCGATCCCAGGTCTCCCAGTAGCGGTCAAGTGGTCAAGGTGGTCAGCAGTAGGCTGCCACCTTGACCGCTCGGCCATCCAGCCAGTAAAAAATACTTGTAGCATGTATAGGGAAGATGCTCCTACACATTGAACATGTCAAATATGGTTTTGAAAGTTTTCTTCAAGAAATTTTGAACTAAAAGATACAAAATGTACAGAGCATCCAAAAGTTCTTGACAAAAAAAATTGCAGAAAGAAATTGTTAAAAATCAATTTATATATATTTATAACATGCAAATTTGCAACAAATGTCAGTGTGTCACTGACACGATGAATGTGTTCTGCATGCATTAAGTAGGGGGGGAAAAACAAACAGAATTCAATAATTTTGTCAGACAAAGGTAAGCATCAGCTCTAAGGTTTTATTATATCCTTGAAATATTTAATCATTTTTATCATAGACAACTTGTTTTTATAAATGACAAAATTAAAATTAAAATATTTGTCATTAACCAAAAATTTGTTTTATTGGGTTGTGATTGTTTGGACAAGTACCAAAGTACCACTGTATTTGATTAACACAATTTTGATATATATGGTAGCATCACATTAATTAAGGGATATTTGTATTTTAATTTTTCATTTTTTCAGTTGTTCTAAACTAACACCTTTAGTGTAAATTAGTTTTGTTTAAATTAACTTATGTGTTTTTTTTGGTATCATCAATGTATGTTTAAGTTCATTTCTTAAAGGAATCAAATCATTTCTAATTTTAACTTTTTTTTTTAATTCTGAATATTTTTGTGATTATTTCCAAGTAATATAGTTATAGAATGGTAAATTAGATGAAATCAATTAAAATTTATTATTTTAATAATAAATTATAAAATGATTAGTAATAACTAATAAAAGCAGAAAATTTATAAAGTGTTATATAAATTCAATATAATCTTTTTGATCCTGTATAATTTATCAACATTATTTTTCTACTCAACACAAATCATTTTATATAAATTTTATAAGTAATCCACTAAGCATAGTTTAACAAAGTTAGCATATTTTTATTTTTATTTCATACATCTCGAAATTTTGAAGTGATAATTTCTCTCTTAGATTTAAATAGAATTTACATTAGAAATATTTTTTTATTTAACATATTAAATTAACTTAAACTGTAAAAACTTACTTGATTGGCTTCCCACGAATCTCTGACATGATGTTACTTTCCCCTCCAAGATACTCATAACACAGACTTAAGAAATTGTAGATTACAAATGCTGCAAAAAAAAATTAATAATTCAAATAATGTTTAAATGTTTTTTTACAAACATAATTAGAAAAACAAATTCCATATAGGCCTGTTTCACTTTAAAATATTTCAAAATATAAGATTAATTAATATTTGTAATAAAGTTTATAACTCAAAAATTTAATAAATTTTGGAAACAATTATATTTTATTTGTTATTAATGAGTGGTTTGGCGTTAAACCTAGGTTCAGCTACATGCACTTCTTCCAGCCCCCTGAAGCAGCAAATTCTCAACACAGATTATGTTCACCTAGTAATCCTATGCCAATTTCTAAGTTGGTAAGAATAGATTATTGTTAAAGTTTGTGTTCTTCCCAAATTTCTTATAACAGTGAAATTAAAGAATTTGTTGAAAATGGATTTAATGAAATAGCCTAGCTTATCAAGTATTTGGATGAAAATGTTGTTAGTTTAAATGAGACTCAGAGAAACTTTAATAGATGACTGAAATTGTTGGAATTAGAAGTTGGGAAGCTTAAGGAGGATAATAAATCACTAACTTACTGCAACAAAACATCTAAGGCTCCTCAATTTCCAATTAACTTAAAGAAAGACTTCAAATGGAAAAATGTGATAATTAGTGGTTTATATTGCATTGGATCAGTACAATTTAAGAATTTTTGATTTGAAGATTTTTGAGTTTTTGCTAACTGTGGTTGATGAGTCTGGATCAGAAGGAAAAATTATGGAAGTTAATCAATTGGATAACTAATTTTTATCTAGTAGAATTTATCCTTATTGTATTTAATCAGTATTTCTTTTTGCAATTTATTAAGAAAAAGTTGACCTTGAATGATTCATTTCTTTCCAAGATACATTTGCCTGATTTGGTGTTAGTAGAGTTCCAAAATCAGAAGAAAAAACAATTTTGGTTATTTATGAGTTGTGTTAGAGAACAAGGAAAAAGGCTACAATGAAAAGAGAGGTTTAATATTCGGACAGAGATTTATATGTATGATTTAATTAGATACTTCACTGAACTCTTAGCAGTATAGGAGGATTTTCCTCCTATTTAATCACTGACTCATATCATCATCTTTGTCAGGCCTTTTATGTAATATTAATGTATTGACATGGAACTCTCAGATGATGTATAAGAACAATCTTTTCAATATGAAATTTCATACTAGCTTACAATTCTTTGTTCGTTTGTGATAACTCTCCTCCATGTATTCCCTTGGTTTATTTATGATGTAAATTATCATATAAAATCTTGGCATTTACAGTTAAAATTCAATAATTATTGATCAGCATTTTTACAAAAGTATAATAATATAGATGTTAATAAACCTTCTAATTTTTGAAAATTAATTCTTCAAACTGAGAAAATGTCTGACCACTTTTTAAAACTTATGTACTGTATTAGACCCGATACAAAGGATAAATTTGGTAATATGGATATTGATAGTTTGCTTGTGTCATCTAGTCAAATTACTGTTTGTAAGTTTTCTATTTCTTTGTTAAGGCAAATAAGCTTTTTATGTAATTTTTCCCTCTTGTGCATGAAAGAGTACAACAAACATATTATTATTCATAGAGAACTCAAATAAAATTTATTATTGTAGTCATCAGTTGCATAAATGTATTTATACAACTGATAACAACAATAATAAACTGATGCAGTAGAGTGTCCATTTAATAGGGTCATAGGTTAATCAAGATAGCTGGTTATTTGGAAAAAAATCCTAAAAACCAAAAAACAAATCAATAATTAGAATTTGTTTTATTTGGAATACCAAACCATTTAGTTGGGACAATCACTGCTAGATGGCAACTTTATGACTTGTGGCTGAAGGCAAAGGTAACTGTAGTGCTGAATTCTAAATTTACACATATAAGATACAGTAGATCCCCCTATAAAACCGTTTCCTATAGTTATGATTCCTATAAAAATTGTGGCAGTACAGTAGATCCCCCTATAAAACCGTTTCCTATAGTTATGATTCCTATAAAAATTGTGGCAGTATCCGTAAACAACGGTAAAAATAACTCCTATAATACATAAAACGTCATCGGGCAGCCTAACTACTTTCCCGCCGTCCATAGCGCCACGCTACGGACGTTTAGGCAGATAAATTGAGTTTAGTATCGTCTGTTCATATAATTATATATAAATTAGGTACTGTACATATAATTATATATTAATTATATATAAATTAGGTACTGTATATATAATTATATATTAACTTAATTTATTGTAACTTTATTATAATTAAATATATATTTTTCGCCGTCTAGCGTCACGCTACGGCGAGTTAGGCGACCTATCGTCTGTCCAGTACTGTAATTTTATACATTTCTTGTGAAAGAAACATTTCTTATTTAACGGCCATAAAAATTATTTATATTAAGGATGTCTCCAAAGGTCAACGAAGTTTTCGCAGAAAAATAATATCAGAAATCGCGGCCGCGGTTTGATGCGCTGTTCCGCGACGAAACCAAGCTTTAGCAACGGGCGTAGTCGAACGGTACACACTCGGTAAGCAATCCTACAATTTTTTGTTTATAACGTAGTTTATACGGATTATTTTCAAAAAAATATACGTATTTTGGAAATGTTGAGTCGAATTAGTCTAGAATCGATTAATTTTATGAAAGAAAACCTTTCAAACAGCCGTAGTCCGTAAACTATGATTCCTACAAAATTGATTCATAAAGAATGGAACGTATCTACCGTCTTATAGGGGGATCTACTGTATTAGTAAGATAACCTGCAAGATGCCTTGCTTCCATTATGGACAGCAAGGAATATTCCAAAAGAAAAAATGTGTAAACAAAACATCCAGACTTTGAGGAAGTCCAATGCTGAAAACTAACAGGAGCTGGCTGAAAAGTAGAGCCAAAGATTTCAAAGCAATAAATGAGTGTCTGAATAATAATATATGCAAGATACTAAATTCAAGCACACAGTGAGAAGGGTATTGCTAATACTACAAGTCCTAAACAATGAAAATCCATAAAACTGTTCAACTTGCTTAAAAATTTTTGATACAAATGACATCTATAATGCTGATGAAATATATCTGTTTTCTCATAACATACTAGATGTTTCTTATATTATAAACATGTAACACTGTTGGATTTAAAGAAAGCAACTGATCATATAAATGTGTTATTCTGTTTAAAAATTATCAAAGTGATAAATCGAAGCTTTATTGAAAATTGTGAAAAAACAATAAGCCTCAATACTTTAACACTTAGAATCAACAGTTCAGAAGTTCTGTATTACACTAACAAGAATGCATCAATAATTTATAAAACATTTTAAAGAAATGGATAATGAGTTAAACATGGCAATAATATAAAAGTCCTTTTTATCAAATTTTTTTACAACTTTTTATCAAATTATAAAAATACACTTTAAAAAATTTTCTAATTAAAACAAATATGTAAGGCTCATTCAATAGAAAATAAGAAAAGTGCTGAAGTTGGGAGAATAAGCAAAAATAATTTTGACACACACAACACTTCCGAGTCAGATGCATGAGAATGTAAGACAATGGACTAATAAAAATGGCAGTACCTCTCCAGCAGTGCACAAAGCAAGAGAAGTGTAGTACTGTCTGATTTTTGACAAAACAATCAAAGTCCGTTGACTCATGCAGGTACAGTAAGGAGATGACTAAATGATTTGCACACAAGTGTATGAGTAGAGTTCTAAGGTTTGTAAAACAGCCACAGTTCTGTGGAAGATTCTCTATGGCTTGGACTGCAGAGAATGCTATGAAGAATCTTCCATAGAACTGTGACTATTTTACAAACCTTAGAACTCTACTCATACACTTGTGTGCAAATCATGTAGTCATCTTACTGTAACTACATATGCCAATGAATGCCAATGAATGGTGACTGGACTGTCAAAAAAACAATAATACTATATTGATCTTCGCTTCATGCACTGCTGAAGAGTCTTTGCCATTTTACTAGTCCATTGTCTTGCATTCTTGTGCATCAATATTTTCTCCGTTTTCAATAAAGCTTCCATTTATCACTTTGATAATTTTTAAACAGAATAACACATTTATATGCAATTGCCTCTGACTTAGAACTGCTGTGTGTCAAAATTACTATGTTATGCTATGCAAAATTACTATACTATGCTTCATCCTCTCGACTTTTAATGGTACTTTTCCAGTTTTCTATTGAACATGCCTTGTATTTTAAAATTCACAAAAAAAGATTAAAATTAAGGATGCACCGATAAGCAAAATGGCTGATTACCAATTAATCGGTCACGCATTATCACCCGATTAGTGTTAACAATTTATTGTGTTAATAGTTAATTATATTATGATTATTATTGCATGAAATTATATATTCTTAATAAAAATATAAAATTTCGTATGATAAAAATAATTTTCAATATGCTATGCAAATGAAGCTATTTTTTTCTTTTTCAGATTCATGTATTAAATTAAAATGATAAATTATTATTTTGATAAACTTTTTAATTTTAATTAGTATCCAAATTCCTCATGGCTTCCAGTATTGCTTGGAAATTTTTTAAGAAAGATAAAAACAGAAGTTTCCAAGTGCAATTTACGCCAGTCTTTTATTTCGAGAGATGGAAAAAAATGCTAAAACTTTTGCCACCAAAAATCATGATAAATCATCTGGAATAATGTCATCATGAAAATTTTTAAAAATAAACTTAAAAGATGAAAAGAGAAAGTTCTGAAATGAAAGAAGCTGGATGTTCATCAGTAATAACGGAAACTCATATCCAAAGACAAGCTACTTAATAGAGAAGAAAAAATTGTGGAATATCAATGATTCAAAGAAGTTCATTATTTGATTGGATAAATGATAAGCATAGATATACAGCCACACTTTGTTGTAGATTTAGGATTTCAAAGATTACTAAAAACCTCATTCCTAATTACAATATTCCCAGCAGAAAATATATATCTGAAAATAACATCCGTAATAAATTTCAAAAAGTTCAGTCAAAAATTTCAGAAAGCTATTGATGATTCAAAATATACAGTATTTCTTTAATCACCAATATTTGGACAGCAACTACAAATAATTTTCCTTTTTTAAATGTAACAGCCCCACTGGTTGAAGGATGATTTTCAGCAAGAGCTGTTTTGAAAATTGTTCCCTTTGAAGGTTCCCACACAGCTACACGAATCAGTGAACAGATAAACATAGTTCTTGAATGGTGTAAGTTAACAAAAGTCATAAGATATTCTTAGTACAGAGAGATTCCAGAGCAAATATGATAGATAGAATCAGGAATTGCAACTTAGAGGTATTATCATGCCTTACACATACACTCCAGCTGACACTAAAAAAATGCATATTTTCTCAACAAGATGTGAAAACTATAATCACAGTTAACAGAAATATTGTCACACATTTTAATCATACTGCTGTAGCTGTATGCAAATTGGAAGATTTGCAAGACAAGTTAGGTTTGCAGAAACACAAATGAATTCAAGATGTTCCTATTTGCTAGAATTCTACTTACTACATGTTGCAAATAAACTTGGAACAGCAAAAAGCCCTTGTGCATATATGCTATAGATAATAAAATTCCCACTTTGAGCATATCAGTAGTCTCTCGTTGAAAAAATTATTGTTCTTTTAAAACCATTCAAAGAAATTACTGTGGAAACCAGCAACCGAGAAACCACCTCATCTTCAATAATTCACACAATAGAGATTCTGAAATTATTCTTATTATCAAAAGTAAAGAGCAGTAGTTCCTTTAGTGGCATTAATACCACAATAGAAGGACTAGAAAATTCAATATAAAAAGATTTTCAGCATATATAGAAAACAAGTCTTTATGATTGTCATCCTTATTAGATTCAAGATTCAAAATTAAATTTAAAAAAAATAAAATAAAATAAAAGATGGTAGAGGAAATAAAAAGATGGACAATCGGTAACTTAGATGATGCTGATAATTCAAAATCTCAAGAAGAATTAAATTCTGAAGCTTCTACTTCTGGAGACGATTAACATGGAGGATAATCTCTGAGTTTTTCTAATTTATTTGATGAATTAACTTCTGGTGAACTAAAAAATGAATAAGGGCATGTTTTTAAAAAAGGAAGAAAAAACGAAACAAACGAACAAATGTTTTGATCAAGAATTAGAAAAATAGTTACATTTACCTCTTATACAAAGACATAGCAACCCATTTTTGTGGTGAAGTTCAAAAGAATTTTTTTCTAATATTTTTTTTTCTAAATAGCTATGAAATATCTAAGTCCCCCAGCATCTTCCATTGAAAGTGAAAGAATTTTCAGAGTTGGACGTAACATTTAAGAGCCCTGAAAATGGGGAAATTCTCATGTTTTTGTATTACAGTTTAAAGGTTTTAAAGTTTGAATATTAAATTTTTATTTGTTTTATATATTTAAAGTTTAAACTTTAAATAAAATATAGTTTTGAATAGGTTACATTATACCTTATGATATCTATTGATAACAGAAATAATTTAAGTTAAAAAATTTTTTTTAATATTTAGATTGTCATGTAATAAATAATAAATATATAACAGAAATTTATTATTTTTTATTACTAGCCTCATACGTGACATGCTAACAAAAATATTAAAATACAAAATTGGCCGATTATTAAAACTGATTAATCAGGGAAATGGCCGATACCGATTAATCAGGAAAATGGACAATCGATTAATCGGTGCATCCTTAATTAAAATTTAAGAGAGTAAACTAATAAGTCAGCAAAGTACTAGATCATAAAATCAACATATTTTACTTTATTTATTTTGAATAACTTTAAAATATGCTAAGGAGAGGAGAGAGTTAAATAACAAGGATATTTTTTCAGTGTAGTTTTTCCCTGTAATTCTGTTTTAATAATATTGTTAACCAAACTCATTTTTTTATTGAAAATAAAAACTTCTAAATCATAGAAACAAGAAGTTAATTCAATAAGTTATAAAAAATATTAAAATTATTATATATTTAGTCTGTTTTTGTTGTCATATTTAAAATTTGCAACTCAAATTATATTAGAAAATATCATATGTAATTTTAGATATCTTGCATACATTATGCCACTGATATTTGAATACTAGTGTTTTCAAGACTTCAACATAAAAATCATTAAAAATTTTATAATAAAATTTTTCATCACATCTTTATAACACTGCATTTGAATAATATATTTTAGTACTACAGAAGACAGAAATGCAGCAAATTTGAGGGAAATAACTAGTGATGGGACAGGACAATTCATCAAAATCAGGAATATTCCAGTAATCATAATTGAGCAAATCACATTATGATTTCAGATTCTTAAAATGATCCTTCCATATTTAATAAGAAAATTAATTGTTTGCTTCAGTTATAGATTAAAATTTTTTAAAGTTATGATATCAACAATTAAATATTAGTTTACGGAAACTTTCTTGTTGACAAAGCAGAATAGGCAAAACCCCATACATGAGGTAATGTCTGCCTTGACAGACTTTTCTTTCATGTAGTCAGAGTAATAAGAGATTGCATTTGACCGGTACTGTCCCCATTTTAGGGAGATAGAGTAATATTGGGTTTGCAACCTGGCTGGCAATGGGCTGGCTTGACTGGCAATTTGAAATCAAGGCTGGCTGTCAGCAACAGTTTAAAATATAAACAAAATTATATTTAATTGAAAAATATATTACATAAAATTATTTTTAATATTTTATATGTTTACTTATAATGATAAAATAATTTTCTCATTAAAATTATGAAAGTTTTTGTTATGATTTACAGATGGTGCTATAATAAGTTAAATTTTCAAACATGATTTGCACAATTCTAAATGAAAATTCCTGTTTGCACTAAGTTACTGCCATTTTCAGTTTTAAAAGTTGATTTTTCAAGATGGGTCAGTCTAGATACATCTAGATACAAGATGGGTCATCTGATTCTTCTTTTCCTTGGAAAACGTTCATGCAATTTCACATTTATAAAAATCTGGCTCAAGTGAATGAATTCAAAAATTACTTAACTTGTGGTGGTGATGATATTTGTTCAGCTTGTTACATCATTTGCTAAACCTCATTTAGTATTAAATATAATGGAATTAAAACATTTACAAGGCAACCCAATTGCAAGAAAAGCATGAAGAAAGAAGTGCATCTTCTCATTTACCTTCTCTTCCCCACTGCATCAACCACTAAAGCCAGTTTTTAAAGATGACAACCCTAGGTGATGTGATGGGACAGTTTGAGTAAAAGGGAATTAGTTGTAATTTCTTTCAGGTAGTATTGTAATATTAATTTTATTTTTGAAATAAGATTATGTATTTATTTTGTAGTACACAATAAAAGCATGCATATCCAAATATAAATGGAGAATTTTCAGGTTTCTTTCAAAAAATTGAATCTGGATTTCCCAATCATTTTCCATTCTTAAGCTTGATGCTTATTAATTAATGAATGTACCATGCTCATAATGTAAATCATTAATTTTCCTAAATAAAGTAATGTAAATAAATTTTAGAAAGTATTCAACAGGATTGGAACTGTGAGAAATTTTGGTATCATCCCATCACAAAAAATAGCATTAAAACTTAAGGGAAAAAAGAAAGAATTAATACATTGCAAATTGTAATAACAATGCTCTTTCTTCATAGTTTCTTATTCTAAGTCCAAAAAAATTAGTTTAATTTGTAAGAATTTGTCATTAGAACTTTCAATTGTTATTTTTATTGTAGAAATATAATGAAATAGTATTAATATTCATTACATAGTAATGTTTTAATTATTTTTACAATTTTATAAAAATTACATTAAATAAATATATTTTTAACTAATTAGTTCTACTTACCTTCATACCAATCTCTTACACTATCAAAATATATATAGAAGCTATCATGAAAAAATAGCAAACTTAGCCATGAATCAAATGCATAAATTGGTACAATGAATAAAATTCTAACAATCCATCGCTGTTCTGATGGGCTTGTATAATAACGTAGATGTTGGTATATCTGAAAATAATTTGATTATGTTTCAAAATCTACAAATATGTTATCATTATTATTTGAATATCAAATGAACAAACATAATTTTCAATACAAAAATCTGCTGAATATGAAATATTTGACTAACTTATATATGAAATATATGAAAATTAAATGCTCAAAAAAAGCATTTAATTTTTAGATTTTAAGAATTCACTTATTTACTGAAAAATTATTACAAAAGCTCATTATTTATAATATTTATATAATATTCTATCATATGTACTGTATAATACCAAAATATCAAGAATTACATTTATAAAATAAAAAATATTATAGTCTGCACAGCAAAAGAGTAGACACAAGTCAGCCTGAGCTGGAAGGGTCTACGTTAGATGAAAGGAATGGAAGGAGACATGTAAAAGTTGATACATGGATCACAGTAATAAAAGTTGCAAAAAAAAAGTAGAACAATAACATTATGACAAATATAGTACAAAAATGTTTTGAAAATGCAAAAAACAAAACTGTAAAAGGTAAGATTCACGTCTCACCTCCCACATGTTTCCTTCCATCTAACATACACCCTTTCAGCTCAGGCTAACTCATGTATACTCCTTTGCTACACAGACTATAAAAACTGTTACTGACTGCAGTGNACTATTTTCATACACAGGATACACCCGTCAAAGTCAATAACCTTTGAAAGCCTTAACCTTAAAGATGTGCAAAAACTAATATATATTTAAGTACGTTTGTATGTCTATCAGTAAGTCCACACGTACTCGAATCACCTCTCTCTCTCTCTCTTCACTCACATAAACAGAAAAAAAGTATAAAAATATAATAAATAGAACCTTACCTTTTGCATATAAAATATACCACAAGAAGGACAGAGTATCCTTCTCGTGGTAATTTTCGTAACTCGTCACATGTTGGCAATTTCTATTAAGCACAGCATCCATAATAAACAAAGGTGGGATCCTCAGTACGATTTCCATAGAGAACCAGATACGTGATTTAAGCTCCATGTTACTTTGCATGATCCTGTAACATTCAACGTTACGTCTTGCCTGAATTAATTTTCCTTGAGAATCGTAACCGATTTAACGCCATCTGTCGAATCCTTACTTCTCTTTTTCGTCTTTTGCTGCTGCACTAGTATCATTTACTAGCCAGGAAGTAATACCTGAAAAACCGGATTCCATGCCCCTGGCATATTATTATTATAATACGAGTAATACGACGTCTTGTGTTATTTAATACAGTGAAGACTGTGTGTAACTTTTATCAATCGAAAGTATGCTTTGTACTGTATATATACCAGCATTTTCACGAATTAATTGTAAAATTTATAAGTGCTCATCAATGGCCGAGTGGTTAAAACCATTGAACACCTGTAAGATTCTGGTGTTCAACGGTTTCCTTGACGTTGGTAACACCTAAATAGAAGTCAGTTTCCCGTAGAAAGTCTTCACGGGGGCCATCCCCTTTTGGCAGATCGCCCACTTTTACTTGTTTACTTTTTAGTCGTGTAAATACTTTTGCTTTCTACTTATAAGTTGAATTGATTAGAGAAGTAACCTGATAGAAGTCTATTTAATCGGGACCCCTATACAGAGGGACTTTAATTTCTTATTCAGAAGTTATAGGGAAACTCATTATCATTAAACAATACGAATTACATAACTGATACTCAGAAAGACATTAGGATTGACTTCATTATCAATTGTTATCATCTATACACGTGAATAAACGGATAGGAAAATGCACAACTAATTTATAATTCCTCTCCTTTACTGGTTAATTGCAGTATTAACAAGGAAACTTACAATTCAAGGCTCGATCTCGTGTTAATATATATACTGTTTTTTAATTTATAATACTAAATTAATGTTTATTACTTTTATTATGACATTAGGACAATGGTTGTTCCTTAAATTACATTCTTTAATTCAAAGAACAGCGATTGTACATTGCGTGATCATTTACTGAATTTTTTGTTTTAGTTTAAAGCGAAAAATAAACTTTTATTCTTACATAATTGTGATTAATTATTCTTGGAATTCTTTTCATTAGAAAATACCATATAAAAATTCTTGGTATTTATTTTATGTATTCGCTCATATATAAATATCTAACGAAGTATATCCCCGCTTTTACCATAATAATTTAAATTATTGTACCCGGAAAATAGTATTTAATTTTTCACAGATTTAATGATGTACGAACTGAAAATAAAGGTTCGAATCCGGGTGAAGAACTCCGGAATTTTTTACAATCGGCAATTTCCGGATATATCGGGCCTCTCCTCTCATTGCGGACCACGAAGAGCGTTAAAGAAAAACCAAGGGGGTCTATGAGGAATTCGGAGGGCCCCACACACTCTTAAGGGAATACAATAACATATACTAATATGCAAACTAACAATATACGATTTATTCTCGTCTTTTTTACGGGTGAAGTTAGTTTGAATGGTCTTCGACAGGAATATCAGCTTACTTGGGATTGAATAATGGGAATTACCCTGTCAAAAGTCCGAGGTTTGTGGGTTACTCGATACTAATTTATGCTGCATTTGTCCTTTTCCTTTAAGAAATAATTTGTTTTACGTTATAAGCTATGCTAACGAATTCACTTATAGAAATAATTCATAATGACCTTAAATTTACCAGGAAAATTTTTAGAAAACACACTTCCGTATAAGGTATGCTGAATTTATATTAATGTTAAACATTCGTACAAATGCGAAAGTATATATATAATTTATTTATNAGTAGATATCTCAAAAAGAAAATATATATATAATTTTTTTTCTACTTTTCTGATAACAATGTCCTCTGTCAACTGCACCATTTATTTTTTAACTAAAACCTCTGCTTAAAAATACCCATCTACTGTAGGAGGCCAATATGACTATTACATTAATTTTGTATTCAGTAAAATATTTAAAGTATTTTTTTAATACAAACTAGAAATTGTCAGCTATTCTTAAATAACCATCATCAAAACAAAAATTTAAATAAGTTTATAATTAATAAAGAATTAAATTTAAAAACAAAATACTGTTAAAATAAATATTAAAACAAAATTGGCTAAAATTTGCATGTCATTAGAATGCAGATTTAGTCAATTTTAGTTTGAGAAATTAAATTCAATTTCATAAAAATTTAAATTTTAATCATTTTGATAAGTCTGAGTTTAAAATTTAAATAAAGAAACAACATAGAAGTGAGGGCATTCTCCTATTCGTCTGACACATAGGATAGGGAGAAAGAGCTCCTTACAATCACCTGTTATGCCACCCAGCATGGCTACTTTCCACTCACTATTCAGGGCCTTATATGTTGGCTTTCCAACACCACTTCTACCCTGCAGGTAAATCACTCCCAAGATACAAAGTACAGAACAGTCACTTACAACAAGAAGCTTGCCACCCTGTACAAAGAAATGTCCAGGAGTAATAACTTTCAATTAGCTTTTTATAGAAGTCCCTCAATTTCCTCCCTCCTCCATAACACTAAAGACTGGCTTGACAAGCACCAGTATCTACAGTATCCTTGACAGCAACCAGGCATCTACAGTATCCTTGTCAACAATCATAGATCATACCAACACTTACAATATGTAGGAGCTATAGCTCACCCTTTAAATACCACCTCAAAGAGCATCAGATATCTATCTTAAAAAATTTGGCCAACACGACTTTGGCTATCTATGCCTCTGACCCAGACATGCAAGTTGAATTCCACAAGGCACACCTATTACATAATGCATCTAAGCAACCTTTCCTTAAGCATCTGGAACAAGTATATAACAAACATCTGGAAATATACAAGGCCACCTGCAATACCACAGCCATAAACTTTTGTGATATTGACTCCTTTCCTATGACGTGGAAGTCTTACACAGCTTTTAAATTCATTGTGTATATACCTGATTTCTTAAAAATGGATCTAGGATCTCTATTGTTTACAGCTAATCATAATGTTCTTCTGTATGCAAGATTCTTTGTTCTTTTTAGTTTTTCCTGATGACAAATTGAATTTGATTGAAAACATTTGAATTATTATTATTAAAGAATGTTAACTTGTCCTTTGAGTTAAAAATGAAATTGGCATTATGCAAATTATCAGTTTATTCTATGATTTTCTATAGTAAATGTTATTGTTTAATATATGAAATTGCTATTATTATTATTATTATTATGTTGCAATTGTCACGCTCAGCCGATACTGGTATAAGTGTTATGTTGGATTATAATCTAGGCGTAGCTATCTAAATAACTAACGTTAAGCTTCTGTGTTGTTGCCTGTGTCAACATCTAAAAACTTCACTAGAAACAATAATATTGCAGCTTTCTGTAGTGTCACTTATATGTTTTTATTGAGGTTTAACGTTTCTAGACTTTTGTGTATAGTTTGTTGCGTGACACGGTGGAAGAGAGGACAATAGGCACAATAAATACCCTATCCATCCTCCACAGTTTCCTTATTTCTTGGGCGATGGAGTATACTTGTTGATTTTTTCAGTATGAGCATTTTTCATGTAGATGTATATTATATAAGTGCGATAAATTATTTTATCTGTGATCACGGCTCTGTCGTAGTATATTTTGTGTGTCATTAACTAAAACTGTGAAATATACTGTATTTGTAGTACAGTCGACCCCCCATAACACTGTTGATAATTCCGTTTTATATGAATTCCATGTTGTACGAGTCACTTAGATTTTACAAATACGTGTTCCGGACTGTGAACGGCTCACGTATTTGTAAAATCTAAGTGATTCGTACAACATGAAATTCATATAAAACGGAATTATCAACAGTGTTATGGGGGATTTACTGTATGGTACTTGAGTGTTTAGTAATGTGTGTTTGTGTGCAATCACTTGATGTATTATACATATATACTAATTGATTATACCTATGTAAATAGTCTGTGCTAGAAGCTTGCAACAGATATACGTTGTATTGTTTCTGATAAAATGTGGCATTTTCTGTAAGAGTAATGTATCTTTCAGGATGTATTTCTGAAGTTTTTAGTGTTTATGACTTGATCTTGAATGGCAATTATAAGCCCCCGTCTCTCTAAACAGGCAGTAGTTTGACGCAGTTTTCTGTGTTGAGCTATGTCCAGATGCTTAGAGTGTAAGTTTGCGATGTTACTGTCTGCTGAGTGTGTTATTAGTGTCTGATATACGTAATCTTGATGTTTCTTGTTTTTAGTGGAAGTTAATTATTTATCAGGCCAAGTCCACCTTCTTTAGGCAATTCGATAATAAATCTAGATTGTTTCATCTCGAATTTAGCTATTTTCTAGATTTTATTTTATTAATAAAAAGAAGGTAAGATCAGAGTTTAAAGTAATAAGTGTAGTACTTAAATTTAAAAATTATCGTTAAATTGAGGGTTAAGTACGAGCCAGGTCTTGAAGAGTTTTACTCTCAGCCATATGATTATTTTTAGTGTATTCGGGTCAGTCTGATAGGTACCATATTGAAAAACTACATTTTGACCTTTATCGTGTTATGAACCGCATTGTTGAAGTTAAAATCCTTCTAAGAGGTAATAAGGAACTAATAATCGTGGGAAATGGAAGAAGTGTTGCATTTTCCCATTAAAAGTAGACAAAGAAAACGTGCTAGTAAGTGAGAGAGACTGATGTAGAAACTGCACCATTAGGATGTGTACAAATAGTGTACTATATCCATCATTCTGGATAACAAAAGTATATTATATGAACTAACTTTTTGTTCGCTATGTTGTCTACAATAGCCTTAGACACTGAAGCCGTGAGCCTGAAGAGGAATTGGAAAATTACCAATCCGAAATGCATTGTTAATTAAACAGGCGAAATAAAGTCAACTGTTTTAATCTCTTTGTTAATTGCACATAATTAAGAAAGACGTATAAACAACACTAGTGTAACTATTAGAAGAAGAAACTTTTACTGATAACTTTTTATATTTTTAATTATTATCAAATGGCAAAATGCTTAATTTTCAGGGTAGTGATGAGTTTAAAAAATTATAAATGTTAATAACGAATAACATCTTTATTAATATGATATGACACATGACAACCCTCCAGTGGCGTGCCGTGACATTTGATGACAGGGAAGCTGTGTTTCTGTAAGAAGCCGACATCCAGGGGCAATCAGTCAATTGCGAATCAGCGATGGTCTAGGGTCCATTCGTATCGTTTATTCCATAAGCCAGTAAAAACCGTAGACTTCTCTAAATGAATTTTTAACATCACAATTACATTCCGATTCACTAATCACGATATAAGGGCTACAATTAAAAATAAAATAATAAAAACTTACTCGGTGAAATAAAATGTGTAGCGGATGTACCGCTACATACCCGGTACGAATATACTTTTAAAGAAAATTATAATTAAATATAAGAAGCGTACATAAAAATAACATAAAATATTCTTTATTTTTTAAATCTTAACCACTTAGTCAAATAGCTTCCTACGAGTGACTAATGGATGGAATTATTACACAGCGCGCATACACGCGGACTGCCAAATCCCCAGGGTGCCGATACCGATCAATGTCAAATATCTCTTTTGTCGCATAACTAGTATATCTCAAAGGACACGACGGGGCTGTTTAGATTTTAAACGTTTCTTGCCATAGCTGTAAAAGTCCAAATATGTTAATATTATGAAAAAATCAGTCCCCGCTGTACTCGGCTAGAGACGATTTGGTTAAGCTTTCAAGTAATGTTCCGGCTCTTTCGGCAGGGTTTTATTTATGTCCCCAATTCTCTAATATCTTAATTATTTAACTATTTCTTAAGTAGAAATAATTTAAAACCGGTTACTTTGTACTCGAATATTTGTAGTCTCGGGAAAAAAGTGGAAAGATAAATTTTTTATGACAAACGGATACATAAATCGTAAATTTAAGGAAATGATAAACGGATTTAAATATTTAAAATGATAAATTTACGATTTATGTATCTATTTATCATTTATTTTCCTTAAATTTACGATTTATGTATCCGTTAAGGAAAATAAATTCTAGAGATTTTTCTGTACCTCGTGCATCTCTCTCATTCATTAAATTTAGTTGTAAATTATGCTATCAAAGTAACAGTTAATTTTTTAACATTATATAAGAATTGTACACGTTGTTTTCTGTATCCTCTTATAGATGGGACGTACGAAATTGTAATATCATCGGTTTAACATTGAAATCCGTAAGTAATATAAAATTGGTTGAGCGAAATAAAAATATCAAATACAGTAGAGCGTCGATTTTCCGAATCAATTGGGGACTGGGGTTGTCCGGATAACTGATATTTCGGATAACTGATTTACGTACGAAAAAATAGTTTAACGTATCCGATGTCGAAATTTTTATCCNAAAAAGAAGTTTTTTCACATCTGTCATGGGTTCGCCCACAATGGGCAGCCTGGCGTAAAGGAAGAGGCCCGACGTATCCAAAACAAAACAAAATAATGAAAACTTTCGTGCCAATCCGAACGTGAAACAACATTCCAAAATGGCGCTTTAACGCCCGCACTACATTATACAGCGATTTTATTTGAAAAATGTTTGACTAAAAAGAAAATGGCGGACGTGTTACTTTGAATTTAAACTAAGTATCGTCATCGTTATTATTTTTAATTTTAAAAAATATATTTTTTTAAATAACAAATCTACTAGAAATAAAAATAAACGAAATAAAATTTTAAAATAAATCTAATAATTAACACAAGTAAAAGGATTCGCTTCGATTATTGGTCATAAATTTAATATAAAATTTTAAAATTTTTCAGAAAATATAAGCAAATAATATAATTAAAATTAAAATTTATTATTATCATTATCATTATTTTAAAGAAATTTAATTTGTAATAAATATTGTAATAATTATTAACCAATAAGGAGTCGGAATTATCGTAAATGTGAGTCATCCTGTTGGTTTCTTATAGATGGGAATGGTCAAAGGAAGAACGTGGTTTTCGGTACACGTGTTTCTCCATAATATTTATAAACTGCAGTTATTTTGTCTTTTATTGAATATTTCGGGATATTTATGTGAGTATTTGGTTAAATTTACATCGTTGTTAGAGATCTACGAATGTAGAATTTGAAAATTAAAAATGATTTGTCAGTGAGAAATTGATACATAAAATTTTATAATAATAATAATGGTAATGTGATTTATAAACCGTGTCAATTACACAAATATCCAATGGACAACATCAATTATCCTATGGACAAAAAAGGCAATTGCCTGAGGTCCCAAAGTAATCTTTTGTAAGAAAATGTTTTTCCCTGTAGAAAAATGTCTGAAGTCAATACTGTACAAGAGGTCCCCTAATTCAAAATTGCCTGGGCCTTACAAGCTATAATGTGCCACTGTTTGTGGCTATATTATTTTAAACTATTACAGTAAGACCTCATTTTATGCTTAGGATGTATTCCTAGCCAAATTTCTTTTCTCATAGACGCCAACGTACACACCCGAAATATTTTTTCTTTTGACTTTTTTGGACTTTTGACTTTTAGTTGGTCTCAAAACGTGGAGATTTACACAACACTAACGCCAGTCCTTGACTAAAAGGAAAATGGCGGAAGTGTATTCAATTTTCTTCCAACATGTAATATATTCTATCTCCCAGCTATTAACTAAATTATAATTTAAAAAAGCATGGCTAATACACCGAATACTTAAGCGTTTATTTAATTATCCGCAGCGTCATGCCCGACCGCGTATATATCTAGCTGAAGACAAAACACTTAACTTACCGTTTCTTGTCAGTATCCGTTTAAAATCCGATCGAATAACTCGTAAAAAATATTTAGTAGACGAGATAGCGTTTGTTTCTGTCTTCTTCCACTGTTCAGATGCTGTATGGTATCTTACATTTCGGATTTGTTCGACATCATTTTCAATTATTCCGCTGACCAGCACACTCGCATCCTATGAAGAAAATAGTCTCAGCGTATGCAAATTAGTTAACAGCGCGAGACTAATAGGTTATTAAATAACTTTCGCGTTTTCAAACTCTGGTTGGAATGGAACACCTCTTTCAAAAATTACGTTAATTTTTTTCCATTGTTTCTTCATCAGTTTATTATTTCCATTGCAGATTGCTTTCCAACGACGTTATGCAAATAATGGCTTCTGTCAAGTCTAGCCAGTTGAGTATGAATTACAATCGGCTTTATTCACAAACGTGCACATAATCCAACACTTATAACACAGTTATATTAATTTAAAATGCAAGAAATATCAAACAGCAACAAAGGATAAACACGAATAATGCTCCTAATAAACATAAATATATTTATACAAGTTATAAATACATCAAAAAGGAAGTGAAATTCAAATGTAGAAGCATCGTTCAAATTTTTCTCGAGTTTAGTGTTCGAACTCTGGAACGTTAATAGTTAGAATCGTTCGAATTATGATTCTAACTCTCTACGACATTAAAAAGAACTTTTTTCACATCTGTCATGGGTTCGCCCACAATGGGCAGCCTGGCGTAAAGGAAGAGGCCCGACGTATCCAAAACAAAACAAAATAATGAAAACTTTCGTGCCAATCCGAACGTGAAACAACATTCCAAAATGGCGCTTTAACGCCCGCACTACATTATACAGCGATTTTATTTGAAAAATGTTTGACTAAAAAGAAAATGGCGGACGTGTTACTTTGAATTTAAACTAAGTATCGTCATCGTTATTATTTTTAATTTTAAAAAATATATTTTTTTAAATAACAAATCTACTAGAAATAAAAATAAACGAAATAAAATTTTAAAATAAATCTAATAATTAACACAAGTAAAAGGATTCGCTTCGATTATTGGTCATAAATTTAATATAAAATTTTAAAATTTTTCAGAAAATATAAGCAAATAATATAATTAAAATTAAAATTTATTATTATCATTATCATTATTTTAAAGAAATTTAATTTGTAATAAATATTGTAATAATTATTAACCAATAAGGAGTCGGAATTATCGTAAATGTGAGTCATCCTGTTGGTTTCTTATAGATGGGAATGGTCAAAGGAAGAACGTGGTTTTCGGTACACGTGTTTCTCCATAATATTTATAAACTGCAGTTATTTTGTCTTTTATTGAATATTTCGGGATATTTATGTGAGTATTTGGTTAAATTTACATCGTTGTTAGAGATCTACGAATGTAGAATTTGAAAATTAAAAATGATTTGTCAGTGAGAAATTGATACATAAAATTTTATAATAATAATAATGGTAATGTGATTTATAAACCGTGTCAATTACACAAATATCCAATGGACAACATCAATTATCCTATGGACAAAAAAGGCAATTGCCTGAGGTCCCAAAGTAATCTTTTGTAAGAAAATGTTTTTCCCTGTAGAAAAATGTCTGAAGTCAATACTGTACAAGAGGTCCCCTAATTCAAAATTGCCTGGGCCTTACAAGCTATAATGTGCCACTGTTTGTGGCTATATTATTTTAAACTATTACAGTAAGACCTCATTTTATGCTTAGGATGTATTCCTAGATGACAAAGTGTTAAACGAGGTCATCTTAACGCAGTAAATAGAGAAAGTGGTACGTGCAACCAAAAATAAAAAACTTTTACTTTAATTCTAAGTTATTTTTATATTAACTTGCATAATAATATATGTTACATAACACAAACATATGCACACAGAAATATAAAGTTCATTTTTATGGTGAAGTCATTTGTTGCTTTCTTTTTTCTGTCGTCAAACAAATGTCGGTAGCAGGAGATCTCATCCAAAACACCTCGTCTTGCTTTTGCACTCCTTTCAAAATCTAGATCATTTGCACATAAATTAATAACGTTTTACGCATCGCTCAGAATCATATTGATAGCGTGGATGCTGTTTCGCTGTTAATGAACGTGATATATGAAAACAAATGCGTCAAACATACATAGATTTAGGGGAAATACGGTGCTATGACGAATTGCCACCTTTTGCCGATTGATTTGTGTTCAAGAGTAATTGTATTATATATGAATTGCGAAATGCCGCGATGATTTGAATCGGTGTGAATTTTGAGTTATTTTTTTTAGGATTCAAGCAGACTAAGTTACATTGAATTGACATTAAGTGAGGAAGTGCTAAATGAGGTCTTACTGTATTTATTTAATTTTATTTATAATTAGTATCTTATTTCCTCCCCACATCAACATAAGATCCTAACATAAATATAAGTAAACAAAACAAATAATCCTTTGTTTTTAAAATTATATAAAAATTTGCATAACAGCTGTAACATCCTCTTATTGGTTAAGGTTAACTTTTGAAGTACAGTAGAACCTCGAAAACTCGGCTCTCGATAACCCGGCACTCCAGATAACTCAGCCACACCCTGGCAAAGCAAAAACATCCTTAGTTAATAAATTTTCATTATAGACAGCTTTATAAAAGTATAAATCTCTCATAAAGTATTTTTCTGAGGTCTGTCTTATCAGGTAAATTACTGTACACAGTGTATTCATTAATTTTCATTTTCATGTAGTAAAGGCTCTATGCCTTCATAAAGGACGTACTTTTCCTTTGTTTAAGGATATTTGGGCAGTTTATTCTCTGTTATATTCTCAAGTAAACAATACATACAAGCACAGTACAGTATTTTCTGAGGAAACACTCGTACTTATTTTCTTAACCCCATTCCCGATAACCCGGCATTTTCACAAACTCGGCCACCCTTCGGTCCACATTAGGCCGAGTTTTCGAGGTTCTACTGTATTAGTTAAAGAACCTTAGAATAAATTTGGCTGTTGTGTAAGAAGATTTGAAGTTACAGATGAAGAGCTTATTTGAATATGATGGATAGCAATCATGCTAGGGAATAAGAAATCCTCCATTATAGTCTTATACAAGCTTAAGTAATGGCCAAATTTATAATAAAGTTTACAGAAGTCAACCTTCCACCTACTTTATATCACAGCTACTTCACGTGACCTCTTGGTTACAAGCCTTCAGAGTCCTAATTAAAAGAGCTTATTCTCACTACACGAGGTTTGAAGATAGGGATGAATTAGTTAATATTACAATTGTTAATTAATTGTATTAATTTTTCCTCATAATTAAAATGTTTTTATACTGTGTTAATAACCTATAATGTTTATTAAATTTAATTTTGGTCCATTTCAATATAAATTATAAGACAAAATCCAGTAAGAATTATGTTAAGAATCATGAACTTGTTTCCATTGAAAGCAGTCTGATTGGTTCTTCCATTCTTTATATTACATTTTGTTATTTTTTTTTATATATATTTTTAGTTATATTTATCAATCTGTTAGCTTTTCAATTTGTTTGAATTGAGATCAATTCAAATTTATATATTTAAATTTAATCTTTATGTTATAAAAAGCTCATAGCAGATGTATGTTAAGAATCAAACCAGAAAAAGAAATAGTTCGTTATAGGTTTGATATAAGATATTAAAAAATATATATCTTATTTTTATTATTTATTTAGTTTGGATTTTAATTGTTATAGACGTGATAATTTAACACATGCTATTATTATTGCAGATGTTATAATTCACTTTACTACTTTCAAGTGTTCCTTTAACTATTTTAGAAATATTCTATATGCATTTTTGTTTATTAAATTATCAATCAGTGATTTTGATTTACTGTACCGTAATTTTAACTAATAAAGATTAAATATCATAACTTGGGTTGTATTCCTAGATGACAAAGTGTTAAACGAGGTCATCTTAACGCAGTAAATAGAGAAAGTGGTACGTGCAACCAAAAATAAAAAACTTTTACTTTAATTCTAAGTTATTTTTATATTAACTTGCATAATAATATATGTTACATAACACAAACATATGCACACAGAAATATAAAGTTCATTTTTATGGTGAAGTCATTTGTTGCTTTCTTTTTTCTGTCGTCAAACAAATGTCGGTAGCAGGAGATCTCATCCAAAACACCTCGTCTTGCTTTTGCACTCCTTTCAAAATCTAGATCATTTGCACATAAATTAATAACGTTTTACGCATCGCTCAGAATCATATTGATAGCGTGGATGCTGTTTCGCTGTTAATGAACGTGATATATGAAAACAAATGCGTCAAACATACATAGATTTAGGGGAAATACGGTGCTATGACGAATTGCCACCTTTTGCCGATTGATTTGTGTTCAAGAGTAATTGTATTATATATGAATTGCGAAATGCCGCGATGATTTGAATCGGTGTGAATTTTGAGTTATTTTTTTTAGGATTCAAGCAGACTAAGTTACATTGAATTGACATTAAGTGAGGAAGTGCTAAATGAGGTCTTACTGTATTTATTTAATTTTATTTATAATTAGTATCTTATTTCCTCCCCACATCAACATAAGATCCTAACATAAATATAAGTAAACAANTAACTATTTTAGAAATATTCTATATGCATTTTTGTTTATTAAATTATCAATCAGTGATTTTGATTTACTGTACCGTAATTTTAACTAATAAAGATTAAATATCATAACTTGGGTCATAAATTGTGCACACAAATTGGTACAGAACTTTTTATTAATTGTTAGTATTGATGAGCAGATTGCAAGGCTTCTACATATATATGAATTAACTAGCTGTTACCCGCAGCTTTGCCTGCGCGGATTTTGCAAGCAAACCCCATTTATATTCAGTATTTCAACAACCATGTAATTGTTATATAACACCTACCACTGAGAATGATGAGAATTATTGAGAATCAAATGAACTATTTTCAATTTGATCAATTTTCTGGAACGTTTACAATTGTTCTATAGGCAAACCAATATGCAATAACAAATTCAAATTTAAAACGGTTCAAACATTCTTAAAATCGAAATAGATAAAAATATTTATAACAATGTCTGAAATGTTATTAATTTAATACACCTAAGTACTCAATGAAGACCAAATCCTCTCCACTCTCCCCTCATAAGGGGAATTTTGAAAAATCCCTTCTTAGTGTGCATTCTCATGGCATACCCTACCACAACACAGATAAAAACAAAAAATTGCGTCTAAAATAGTATAGTAGAAGCCGTTGTTCCGGTTAAGCCTTAATGCTCTCCCTCTCCCCCATGGGAAAATTTTGAAAAATCCCTTCTTAGTGTGCATTTCCATGACATACCCTAACTGTCTACCAAATTTCACCTCTTTAGGTTCAGCGGTTTGATCTGGGCAATGATGAATCAGTGAGTGAGTGAGTCATTCAGTCAGTCAGGACAAGCAATTTTATATATTTAGATTAATAAATTTTGATTTATGTTTGTGAAACAAAGCTTAATGCTGAAATCAAAGTTATTTTAATATAACTTTTTATTCTTAGGTTCAAGACTAAACCATTCTGTAAAAGATGACTTGTTTTTTGAAATAACTGAACCTGATTATCTTAGATATACTTTTAAAGTAAGACCAGCCCAAAATTTTGGAGTGCCTTTTGTAAGTATTGCTTACAGAATAATTGAATTGTTAAGTGTTATATCTGTTTTTGTATATAGTAGAACCCCAATTAACCAAGGTTTTGCATTATCCGAGGGAAATCTGTAAGTGAATGCACTACTTTTCTTAATTCTAAAGGGCTTTTTGAAGAGAGTTTAAAACAGTAACATATATTACAAAATGATTATTCTGTTATATTTTTTATCATTTCAACTTTAATGTGAGACAAACCATTCGTGTTAAAATATAACTACAGTAATACACATTTTATTCTCAAAATTGTTATATATATATACACACTGGTGTACAAAACTTAAGCAATGATTTTTTTTTTGCCTTAACTCCGCAAGAAATCACCTGGGAGACATGAAATTCAAAATGCAGAGAGAGTATTTTATACTTAAAGGCTGAAGAAATCATACTAGTTCAAAAATTAATAGAATGCATACAGTATGGAATCAAAACCTTCTTTTTATTGTAGTCTTGCAATGTGCTCACTGACTGCACGCATCTTGCATGCCCTCACATCACAGCTGATGTGAGGGCACATTTTTACTTCACCTTTCTACTGAATTGGGTGTTTGTTGTACTGATCGCAACAATTCCTTTTCTACAATTTTGTGGCTGGCTGCTTAAAAATTACATCGTTGCTTAAGTTTTGCATGCCAATGTATATTAGCTGTATAAGAAATATTGTTATGATTAAAATCACTAGGATATGAAAAAAGACTTATAAATCTCTTTATATGTGATAACATATAAATCTCTTTATAAGTCTTTTTTATATGTTATCACATATAAATCTCTTTATAAATTTTTCAGTTATCCAAGTTAGCAACAGTCCACATTACCTTGGATAATTGGGGTTATACTATAATTCTTATTCTACTAAGCAAGTATTACAGTCCTAAAATCAATTTGCTTTAATTAAATTGCCATTCTGCAAATTATTGAATTATTCAGAGTTTATGTGGTAAATGTTTATTTTCCAGAGAGAAAGTCTAAGGAATGTTGGATTAGTTCTTGCAGAACCTCATCATGGATGTAGTCCACCCATCAATAAATATGATCTGCAGAATAATGTTGCCTTAGTAGAAAGAGGGTAAGTTTATTAACAGCAATTTTGTTTTTGCAGTTTGAAGCAGTAACTTCTAGTTAAGAAATAATAATAAAAGAGTTGATTAAATACTGAAATACAGAATTTTATGAGAGGTTTGATTGATATTGGTTATTTGATAGCTTAAAGTTTTGATTGTAGTACATTTGTTTTATTAAATTTGAACCTAATACTTCAGAAAATTTGATAAAAATTGTCATTTTGGAAAAAAAACAGATTATAACGAAACACACTTTATAATTATCAGGGATACATACCATAGGTCAAAATGTTCTTCAACCTTTATCTGTGCTTACTGGCCTCACTGAGAGTCAGATTTATCCATAAGGACAAAATTTTGGCCAGTAATATGATCTTAATATGCTGCTATCTCACATTGAGTAATCAACATGCTTATTTCTTTTTCTAGATATGACAGTTTACACTGGTCTGTTTCCTCTGTTCACATATATAAAATTTCATTCTCCATTATCAGGTTAGAAACAGATAGTCAAATATATTATTCATTGGATAATTTAGATCATACTGATCTACTTTTTCAATCAAGAATTTCACCTTTCAGAACAGAAGTTCCCAACCTGGTTGCTACCGAGTGTGACCACATTGGGAACTTTTGAGCAACCTCAAGAGAACGATTGATTTATTTGACAGCATATTAATTACTGGAGGTTGTTTCAGACTTGATATAACTACGAGGGCTATTTTTTAAATAAGGTCCATTTTTTAATAAGAAGAAAAATACTGTAAATATTAAAATATTTTTTTCCCATATTCTGCATACTTTTATCTACTTTTCTACATAATTTCCATTTTTGTTCAAGCGTTTGTCATACCGCTCAAAAATCTTTTTAATTCAGACTTAAAAGAAATCTGCCGCCTACCACCGGAAGACATTAGGCCACGTCGCTTGTCTTGTATGGCACGGCAGAGTTTTCTGAAGGTCACAATAAGCATCAGAATTGATTGTTGTACCTCTTGGCATAAAATCCACTAACAAAGTCCCTTTCCTGTCCCAAAAGACAGTTACCATGATCTTTTGTGCTGAAATCGAATAACATATCGTATCTTACAGTCGGCGGGCGACTCAATTTTCTTAAACATTATAAACTTCTACAGTTCAGCACACAGATAGACGATACAGCTGCAAAGGGCATCTAAACACGTGCAAAGCATGCTGAAAGCAGATGCTCATGCACACTGCTGCAATCGCGCATCATTCTCACTCACAAACGGACCTTATTTAAAAAATAGCCCTCGTATAATAATGAAGTGATTTAATGGAGATTTGGCAATAGAAGACATCCCTTTTTCTCAATTAGTCTGTTAAATCGAGGGTTTACTATATGTTACGTATAGGCATCCCTGTATTTTCTAGCTTTAAATTATTTAATTAAATAAAATAACAAAGTATTATATTTATTTTCACTATTCAGTTTGAAGACTTATTTCATTTATTAATGCTTAATTTTTTGCAACAAAATTTATCAATTAAAATTAAGGTTTCTTTGTAATTGTAAAAAATCTGCAACAAGTTGCATAACTTTCCTGGCTGTAATGAGATTTTATGAAAAAAATATAACTTATATTATTAATTATAATAAATAAAATTGTGTTTGGTGCCATCTGTTGCAAGATTTTATTATAAAAAAGTTTTATATTAGTAATTATAACAAAAAAAGGCAAAAGGCTTAATTTTGATGGTAGGGATGATTTTTAAAAAATGTTGTAAATGTCAATAATAATTAAAATTTTCATTAACTGATTCCATTCGAGATACGGCACATGTCCCCTCTACCTCCCCAACTCTCAAAATTCAACCACCAAAATTTAATAGCATCAATGCCCCTTATATACAAGTTATCATGCCAGATTTCATTTCTTTATCTATACCCATCCTACAATATTAAATGACATAGGGGTCAACACATATATACATACATATTCCAGCAGTGGTGTGTTATAGCTTCTTGAGGCCCAGGCAAATGTGAATTTGGGGCCCTCGTGTACAGTGTTCGCTTCAGGTATTTCTTTTGGGAAAAAATTTCTTATAAAAGATTGGTTTGGTGCTCCGGGTAATTGCCCTTTTTGCCCATAGCATAACACACCACTATATTCTGGGTATCTGTTTTTTTGTCTTTTTTGGGTTCAGAAGTGTCAAAACATCAAGATTCCAAAAATCCACAAGGTCAAATGTGACACAATTACATTATTATATTATAACAGCCAGGAATGTAACCCACTTCTTTGTTATTTTAACAGGAAAATAACAAAGAAGTAAAAGTTTGAGATGATTACAATACTTTCCCACGCTATAACAGCTGAGAAAGAACTGCAAATACATGACACGCTCCTGGTATTTTGTTTTTAACATTTATTGTAAAGCAAATCTTAAGACAACTTTATAATGTATTTTAAACTGAAATAATATCTGATTAATAATAATTTACATTGTTTCTGGTTGTACAAATTAAAGTCTAATATTTTAATAAACAAAATTCATATTTAAATATCTTTTTAAATTTAGAAATACAAAATTTTACAAATATACTTGCACCATTGCTGTAACAGTGTGCAGATGACAATATATGTAGACTATGTGATTGTCTCTTGTAGATTTAGAAAATATTTCACGTTAGTTTGCTACACAAATACAAAATTCCTTGAGTATTTTAAGTATTTCAGGCTAATGGTTATTACTAAATTACTTACTTCTTTAATTTGGAATTTCAATTTATTTTGAAATTTTATTCTTAGGAGTTGTTCTTTTTTAACAAAGTGTGTACAAGCAGACAGAGTTGGAATTCTTGCACTCGTCGTTGCGGACAACGACATAAAAAATGACGATCAGTACATAGACATGATTGACGACAACACGAAAAGAAACTGTAGCATTCCCGCTGTATTTTTATTAGGAAAAGATGGGTAAGTCATTAAACTGGTAGGTAAACTGATATATTACACATAATTAATTTAATGGTTTCAATATCAAACATTTGTAATTAGTTACATGATCAGACAAAGGTTACAAGCTCACGGACTGTCTCGTGCAATAATAAATATTCCAGTCAACATTACGACAGTACCTCTTCATCAGCAACGCCATCCACCTTGGCAACTCTGGTAAATACTCATCGTCAAAATCTATAAGATTTTCGGAAGGAGGAAAAATGGATATAATATGTTAACTCATAGGTTTCTTTTTAATTTTGTATGTTGTGTTTACGTATGGTTATTTTGATAAATGGATAAATGTTATAATATACATTTATCAAAGAAAGGAGACATAACAAAAGTACATTACTGTTATTTCTATTTTGTTAGTTGTATATTGCTAAGTTACAGTACATTTTATCAGAGTAATTTCAAAAGTTTTACTTCATTGATAAAATTACAAAAATATTTTAAAATGTTTAAATTCTATGGCATTATGTTAATAGAATAAATTACCGTAATTGCTTTTATTAAGTTCTAAAGTCTGTTTTAGTAGGAAAAACTGTGAGATAAGAGTAAGAGTAAATGTATTTAAAATATAAATCTTACGGATTGGTTTAACACTCACACAGACTGCAGTGTAAAAAAAACAGTAATTTGGTATAGAAATTTGCAGAAACATAACTTTAACTGCATATTCCTTAAATTGTCGTCTGTTTTAAAAGGGGGAAAAAAATGTTCTTTTAATAAATACACTGTATTCATTACTAGTCATTTGTTATAAAAGTTTAACTTGTATTAGATGAATTTTTGAATAGTTAAAAATAATTTTTAATTCTTACAAAACATACTGTTTAAAGTTATGAATTGATTTACCAAATACACTTCAAATTAATTTAGTTAATAAATTTATAAAATGTAGAAAAGTCTTTTAAAAGGAACTTATGACTATATTTCCTTTCAAGAAATTGTACAATATGTACTGTAAATTGTATAAAGTACTTTTTATACCAAATAAAATTTGCCAGTTTCAAACTGTTTTAGTGTTTTTTAAGTTATTGACAATAAACTACTAAAGAATTATAACTTATATAAAATGAGGATTTGTTTAAATAAATTTTCCTGCACTTGTGCCAAATTACAAAATCTTTACAGGGCGAGTCACTTAACTTTTTACCTCTGAAAATGTTTTAAGTATGCTATATAAACTTAAATACATAAAGGTTATCAATGGAGACATTGGATGTTGTTTAACTATTGTTGCAACATGAAATATGTTAAATAAAAATTAATGTTATTGAAGGTGAAAAAGTTATCATTAAATTCACCATTCAAGGTGAGTCACCTATTTACGGTATTAATCCAAGATTGTGTATGAATTTATAATAAAATGATTGAGTGTAAAAGGGTCTTTGAGAATAAATGAAATATTAAAACAATTTTTTTGGGCATACAAGAAACAAATAGTATTCTTATAATTAATTATAATTATTTGCTTTTTGTCCAATACTATAATAAATCTTAACAGCTACATGTAATTTGCTAGAAATTTTAAGGACTTATCACACCAGTTTTCAAGTCCTTAAAATTTATAGCAAATTACATATAGCTGTTAAGATAATTTAAATGGTATTCTTTCTATATCTGTGCTACCCAATGTTGTAATCACTAGCCATGTGTGGCTAGTGTGACTGAGAAACTGAATTTTTAATTTTTTTTAAAACTTTAAAACCAATGCACGAGTCCAAAGGATCCTGTTTTTATATCACACAAATGCCCGACACACAGTTGACACTTATACAGGATAAGTCTTTTCAGTAACTGAATCCATGAATAAGTGTAACATTGTGTTTAATTGAATGCTTCATACAGACAACATGAGTTATAACAGTACCTATTGTATATAAATTAATTGGTAATTAAATTATTTGTTAGTTTTTTAGATTACAATTGGATTATTTTTCTAGCTCAAATATGAAATATGTTTGCTAGAGCCTGAGATTTTCTGCAAAGACACCCATTTTATTGTTAAAAGTTTATTTTACACCCATTGAAAAAAGGATGTACCCAGATAGAATTGTGAAAATGCAAAATTCAATATACAGGTATGTAAATGATCTTTGTGATCATTTACATATCCATATCAGTTGTGGTCTGATTGCACTCTGTTGGTATTACCTAGTATCCTGTTATAAAGGCTTGCACAGACTTGCTGTGTTCAGAATTTTCAGTGGTTTCCTGACCACTATGGTATGCTACTGCTGCAATTCAGAAGAAAATTCTAGTTTCTGCTGAGGGAAGGCAATCTGTAAAAACTTCCCAAGACAGGTAGAATCTTATTGCACTAGCAAAGAATGTGAACTGAAATTCCTATTCAGTGGCGTGAACTTGCGAGACATGATATCTGTAAGTGAATGTGGCAAATGCCTGATGGATTTCTTTGCTGATTAAGAGGAACTTGTCACACGGCCAGGATACCTGGTGACCTGACATGAGAAGCTTGAAGGGAAGCCTTTCTCTTTCCAGCATTGGGCAGTCATAAATTTAGTGATTGCTATTGTCATGGACCCTGCAGAGCATGCATAATTGGTTGCTGTTTTGATTGAATCTTTTCAGATAGGTGAAGAATCTTCCATGATTGGTGAGAAGCTGGGTAATCTTATGGTTTGTAAAAAAAACCAACTTTTGTAATGATTATTGATGTCAGGGATGAAACTAAGTTTGAAAAAATGGAATAGCAACCACAATGATCACATTGTGGTTGCATTCCATTTATCTTGCCATCTCTGGAGAAGATCCCTCCAAAAGTCCACCTTGTCTGATGATAGTGGCTTCTTGCTGTAGATAATGTCAGTTTCTGTACTACTTGCAGCAGTTTTCACGAGTGTCAGCTCACTCATTTCCAGCATTTCCTTCATGGGCTTTCGTCCACCTGATACAGTATATTCATTGTCTGAGTTGGTGAGAAGACATGATTTGGTTTGCAATGGAATGGTTAAATGGTCAAGAGATCCAGTGAATGGAGGAGGTTCTGCCTAATAATTTTGACACGATAATTCGTTGGTACCACCATAGTATGTTCAGGAAATCCTGCACCCTTGTGTTGATTTAATGACAGCACTGCAAACAGCCATTTTTCAGCCAAATTATAAGTGGCTGTACACAGCTAAGGATGGCATATTGCCACACTTTCTGAATCTGTCTTGTCTCCAGATTTATTGCATTATCGAGCATTTCTGGGACTGGATGGGATGCCAGCTTTGGCCATCTATAAATATGAAGGATCTGGAGTAGCAGTTGCAATATCTGTGGGCAAATCAGTCACAGGATAGCATTTGTATACCTATATGCATCCAAGCCTAAAAAATTGCTGCCTATATCCAGACAAGAGATGAACCTATATGATATTAAAAGTCCGTTCAAATTTTACCATTGTTACTTAGGAAATTGTCCCTTTTGCTACGGGCATATTCAAAATCTCAGTGTCAATCTAGTGAGATGCTGCCAAAAGTGATGCGACTGCTGGTGTTTTCGAGAGAACACAAATATGGACTACTGGGACACTGGGAAAGAAAAGCAAGAAAATGGCAATGATGTGGACTTCCATGTTACATTAAATTTATTTAATGAGAACAGCTGAATGAAAAATGCATACAGTCGACCCCCCTATAAGATCGTTGATTTTTCCGTTTTATCTGAATTACATGTTGTATGAGTCACTTAGATTTTACAAATATGTGAGCCGTTCACAGCCCGGCACACGTATTTGTAAAATCTAAGTGACTCGTACAACATGTAATTCAGATAAAACGGAAAAATCAACAATCTTATAGAGGGGTCGACTGTATTTCATTTTTTAAAATCTTCATCCCTCTTTCTTTTTTATTTCCACAGAAGTTATAATTAAATCAGTCCCAAGATTACACTTTAAGCCATTTGCCTCATTCTTGCTACTTTATTTTTTACATAGGGATAGGGATAATGAAATAGAATTTGACACAAAATCAAAGAGGAAAGTTTGTTTTGTAAGGAAAGAAGTTACTCAATCTCATCACATCATGTAAGCTTTCATCTATATGCAGATAAACCTGTGTAAAGTTGGCTGAGGTGAAAGAGGCAAGAGGAGACCATGTTTCTTGAAGATATAGTAAACATCACCAATCCCATACCTTCGTTCCATCTCTATCTTCAAGAAACATGTCTGCCTCCTGCCCCTGTCTCTCTCCCACATCTATATGCACAAATGATAAAGTAATGTATCAACTTTATAACTTAATGACATTACCCAGGTAGGCAAAAGATATATTAATGATGTGTGCAATGCCATAATGTTGTAATGTCAAAAACTTTTCAGGAGAGATGAAAAACACTGTTTATAGTAAAATTAATTCCTTCAAGTATTGAAGGAATTCATTTCAATTTTACAATAAACTCACTAGGTTACAAATTCTCAGGAATAACAAAATGACGTAAACATAAGCCATAATGTTTTAAGCACCAGAAGTCACACGACTTGCACTTTGGTGCTTAAAATATTACTGCTTGTATTATACATAAGTTCAACTTCAAAATACAGCCACTTACAGCGACATTATTGCCACAATACTTTTTGCAGCAGGAAATAGTAAGTTTAGAATTAATTTCGTCAATAAAATGTATTTAGAAAAAAAAATGGAATTTACAATCTTATGGCATTGTGTGCTTCAATATAATAACACAAGAAGTATTTTTAAGTTTATGGTGTTATTTAAAAAACAACTATATTTAATATTTAATTTTTATTCTTTAAGAGAACAAGATACAATCAACACTAATGATAGTTTATGTAAATCTGTATCAAATTACATATTAACATTATTCTCAATAAATGAAATATTTAAATTATAACATTCACGTACACATTAATTAGATTAAGAGTATATTTGAGTCTCATTTAATACATAAAAATTGATAAAATATAATTTGCTATTAACAGCAGAGTATATATTTGAAGTACACTGTGACAAAATTGTGCAGATTTTTAGAATGGAGTATTGCCAAAATATTTTATTTAAATAATTTGACTTTTAAATCAAAATACTGTTAAAATATCAATATGAACTTAAAAATTCAGCTACCTATTTAATTTCAAATAATATAAAATGAAACTTGTCTAAAAAAAAAATCTATTATATAGAAGCATTTTTGAATTGTTGCTTCGTTTTTTCTCTAAAAGGAATGTTACATAAATTTACAAATTTTTTTTTTTATACGCAATAAAATCATTTTGAATCTCTCCTATGCGTATTAAGCATTTAATTAACAATTGATGGCTCGGAAATTTGTTCAAAATATTTTAAATATTTTCTTACCATTTCAAAGTTTTGATATTTGTAACTTATTTATCACATAAGATTTGAAACGTTCGGAAATTCGTGGCAATTCTATACTTTTCTCGTATTCTCAGCTGTTTCTATCAATACATAATTTTCACTGAACAGCTTATAATGATTAATCTGCAATTTATTATCGGCAGAAATTCGTAGACAGAATTCTAACTTTAATGCAATTTTTTCATTTTATAGTTTTTCTGAACAGTTTGATCATTTTCTAATGTACAATAATTAAAGAATCAAGTAAATTTATGTATTATTCATTATAAAAAATATTTTATAGACTAAAAAGTTCTTAAGGGTAAAATCTTTTCAGTTTTAATAAATTGTTACTAAGTAGTGTTTTACATTTTTTAAAATAAAAAGATTGGCAACGCAACATTTAGATTACAAATGAGTGAAGGAATCAAAATATAAAATGGATACAAATTATACGACCGAAGATTGAAATTTATATCATCACTTATATTTTAATTTTATGAAGGCAATTAGGAAATATGTGAACGATAAGTAGCATTAAACAAATATATTTATGTGTATATATGTATATATATTTGTACATTTACAAATACATTTTTATCTATCTAATATTGTATATGGAGCATTGTGCTACAATTTATCTAAAAATTTTAGAAAGTTTGCTAATTAAAAATATATGGAGAAAGAGTGAGTTATACACTTGAGGATTTATATGAATTAAAAGTATATATTGTCATATAATTAAATGAAAAAAAAAAAAAAAACTTAATATACTCTTGTTTTGCTGTTTACATGAATACCAATACATAGATCTTTGGCAAAACTTAAGAATAAAATGACTTGAATTATTTTTGATATCTGATATGCATTAAGAAACCTTACAAGGTATTTTCTTACATGTGTAATTGTTATAGAATTATGGAAAATATAGGGTGGAAAAGAATGAGCTGTATATTTCTCATCATAGGAATGTTTAAGAAAAATATATTTTTGAACATAAATGATAAAGAAACTAAATGTAAAGAAAAAATTGTCCAAAAAATAAAATTGAGTAATTTTCAAATATTAAATCTTGTGAGAAAGAATTATTTTAAATATATATCATACTAACAATGCACCAAGAAGAGAAAAACTACAGTTCCATCTTTTCACCAGAAAGTTCACGATCTATCAAATATTCTCCCATTCCACTGTCCATGCGTCTCAACTTTGTGACGTAAGTATTTATTTCGTCGATAGACTCCACCTGTTCAGTCAAATATTCATTTTCCAAAAAGTCCATCAACTAGAAATAAATAACTTGGTTAGAAATGTATATTTTTGAATTTACAAAAGGCATTTTTATAGATATAACTCAACATTTTAAAACAAGACAGACCATTTTCTTGTTGTTATATACTTGAAATATTAAATCAGAACTTTACAAACATAAATAACAGGTAATTATTTCTATAATTTCTTTTTATTATTATTAATCTCTTTTTATTCCTTTATTTTTTCCCCAATTTTGGGACTCAGAGAGCTGGAGCTCCTAGGCTTGTACCTAATGAGTAATCTAACACTGATTATAAAGAAAGTAAAATTATTTTATATGTAATTTGCCAAAAAAATTCTGTAATTTGGAAATTACTAATTGTCATTTCATTAATCATTAATAAATCCAATCAAAAAACAAACTTTTTTCATGTAATCACTTAAACTGTTTTCTACTTACTTCATTTTTATAATTAACATTTGATATACAGTACTGTATTTATTCATACATACATCTTTTATCGGGTTTTAATAGCTTTGTAAAATAATGGGCATCTTGAATGTATGTAATGTGTCTTAATTAGCAACCTCTAGTATTACTCTTTTCTCAAATGTTGGTCATGCAATAAAAATGCTCTGTTAATTTACTTAGTGAAGGGAAAGATTATGGTAATGGGCAGAAATAATCCAAAAGATCCATTAAGTAGGCAAAGCACGGCACATACACAAGACCAACCAAGAAGGACAAGCGATAAATTAGAGAATTGAATAGTTTCAGCAACATGGAGGAGTGCTTAATATGAATATATCAGTAAGATAAAATTCACGGACGGTAAAAGTAATAGGCACATTTCTTGGTCTTATTTTTTTATTTTATTTGTATTTTATGTTATCCCTTGTATTGTAATTATCTATTCATATTGTTCTCAAGATGACTGTACTTATTGATACTGGACATGCGCATTAAATGTAAAAGATTTTTAAAAAATTATAAAATAGGTTTTGTTCATTATAAATCAGAATTATTTGATTTTTCCTGAAGGAGGTCAATCAACCGACCAAAAAACGTTCAAAGTTCAAATAATTCTCTGCATCTTAAAGGATTTTGGTTGTTTGTTTGTTGAAAGATTATTGATGAATCTTTCCCAACAAACCTATTCATAATAATAAATATTTAAGAGATCAACTTAGCTCAATCTCATTAGTCTATTATAATAACCTTATAAGTACTTGGATAAAAATCTCAGGATATGTGCAACATATTTGAAGAAATGTTAATACAGTACAGCGTTGATTATCTGAATCAATTGGGGACTGGGGTTGTCCGGAAAATCAATTTTTCGGATAACCCCATGTATGAAAAAATACATTATTAATATAGTATATTAGTATATCCCAATAATAGTATATTAATACATCCCAGGTTTAAATTTTTCTCTGTTGCGTGTTGCTTTGCATTGAATTTTCGTCGACGTTAAGCCTAACGAAAATTTTTATAATAATCATTGTGGCTATTGTATCGTTAAAAATTATTTCTTCACTTTGTACAAACAAAATATATATATTGAAAAATATAAAAACAAAAAAAAATTATACTTTAGAAGTTAATCTAGTATCAAAAATGTTCAATTCAGCACAACACAGTCCAACTGGAATACTTTCGGTTAACTAACATTTTGGTTGATTGGCATTCAGATAATCAACACTCTACTGCATTTCAATTTTTCAAATGGCACTGAGAATGATTGCATCTTGGAAGATGTGAGCATCAAATGCAGTGATGATTCATAAGACCCTAACCTGGAAAATGAAGAGGTTTTCGACTCAGTGATATATAATTTACTTTACCAAAAATACTAAACCAATTTCTTACCAACATATTTTTAGACTTCAACTGAAAATCATACAAGAAAAATCAACTAAAGTGTCATTGACTTTACATTCAAGTACAGTAAATTTACTTAAATTTAAGGCCAACAACATCCAAATAATCCATTCATTGTTTAGATGTTTTTTGAAAATTTTAAATGTCACTTTTGGAACATTTGATAAAATATCATGAATGCAATTCTGAACTATAGTAATTTTGACTCTTACCAACTGTCACAACAATTGTTTTATTTAAAATTTAGTAAATACAGTAGAGCGTCGATTTTCCGAAAGTCAATCATCCAAAAGAATTCCAGTCGGCAAATTTAAATTTTCGCCAGTGCTGTGGCGCTTCAATCTTTGGCTATGTCTTGGGCTACTCAAATATTTTACGTTTTTGATACTAAATTAACATCTGAAGTATAATTTTTTATTATTTTTATATTTTTCAATATANATTATTTTTACTAAACAAATTGTAAGTGTATCCATTATTGTATTAAAAAATAATAATAATAAATTATCTAGATTTAAAAACAAAAATTTAAAAAGCTGTTGCTTACATGTGGATCTTTGCAAGGTCTCTCTGCTAAACCATGCAAATGATGTAATTTGTTATTTACAGATTCTTCCAATCTCAAGGCCTCTTCCATTGCATCCAAACCACTTCTCCAAGTATAATTAGATGGCATCTATATTTTAAAAAATTACTATTATATATTTACTTAAAATTATTATAAATTTGTGTACGACTTCATTATAATTTTGTAATTACGTGAAAGCATACCTTGATGTTAAACACACCAATTTGGCCACCTCGTCTATTGACGTAATCAATCAGTTTTTGAGCATGTTCTCTTTCTTCTTTAGAATTTTCCAAAAAGTACTTGGCAAAACCTTTTCTACCAACTTTATTATTGTCAAAATAAGCTGACTGGAATTAAAATTCATATATTAATGTTATATTTAGCACACAATAATTTTTTAAAATGATGTTAAAAGAATCCAATCTAAAACATTATTCACAAAAAATAATAAAAGAAAAACAGCAGTGATAAAAAGAATTTTCTTGATTTTACAATAAATGTTTGTTATTTATGAATTTCCAGCTAATAATGTTCCATAGTATCTACTCAAAAATATAATAGAGGGAAGTTGTCATATTAAAACATATCTTATTTACATTTGATAGATTAAGGATCTGTACATTTGTACAGATACAGAACATTGGTAAAAATATGCCTGCCAAGAGGCTGATAGAATCATTTGATTTGTGATCGGAAACAATGAGATAAACAGGACAAACATTCTATTAAAACAGCAGATTAGTAAGTGAACTTGAATAGATAAGAATAGTCAATAGTTTGTTATAGGAGACAGATAAAATTAAATAGGACTGAGAGAATAATTTGAATCACATATCAAATGCATGAAAAACTTAGTTAAAATGGAAATATATCATCATATATACTACACTATAATTTTTATGATATTAAATATTCACAGATTTGGCCTGTGCATTCACACTTAGGACTCATACCTAGTTAATGCTCAATTTTGCATTTTGAAAAACACTACATTTTTATAAAATATAAAAAATAACTGCCAAATAGTAACTAAGTCACTCAACCTTTTGCGCAGCAAAAACCTTTTAATGTTAGATTTACATTCGACGGAATATTTGTAAACCCAAAGACGGTCTTTTAATATGAATGAAAATGTTATTAAAAAGTGCTTGTTGCTCAAAAAAGTTGTGACATAGTTACTGCATTTGTATTTTTCACTGGGCCAAATCTGTATACATGTAAGAAAATTAACATAAAACCTAGTTTGTATTAATAATATATAAAAATTATTAAAAAAACCAGCAATGAGTTACTCAACTTTACCGGCAACATTTAATATTTTCGTAGTGTCACCTGTTATCATATTTTATTAAAAAACTTTTTATATTTTTAACTATTATAAATTGGCAAAAAGCTTAATTTTGAGGGTATGGATGAGTTTTATAAAAATAAATTGTAAATGATAATAACCAGTAAAATCGTCATTAAGTCCAACCTTACTGGAGATATACATGACCTCCTTTATCTCCTATCCCAACCTTTATCTACCAAAATTTAATAAACAAACCTCTTTGCAAAATTTCAGAAATTTTCGACAAAAAGCACAGGAGTTATTAAGCTTCAAAGAGGGTGAACAATGTCATGCCCCACAGAAACAAAGAAATTACCCGATTTTTTGTTTTGCATTTCTTGACATTTCAAGGTGTCCTAAGTTCCAAAAATGTAAAAGTCTTGGGGTCATTTTTTGACCCATCACCATACTTTCCCTCTGTTATATGTAACAACTGGGAAAGTAAAAAATTATAAAATTATGTTTTGCCACCTAGCATACTTATGTCACTATTTGTTTATTTCTTAAACAGAGTGATAAATCATGATAATAGATAAATACTTCATAAATATTTAGTTTCATGAAATAAGATATGATTCCACTTAAAGTACATTGTAGTTTGAACATTCATATACAGTATTCTCTCCATAAACCATATTATATCATTATATTATCATATATAGTATAATACTTATTGGATTATAGCATAATAGTATGTTTATATTATTACTACTTATTTCACTTATGTAATAAGACAATTAGCCAATATCTTGATATCTTGTGTTACATGTATTGATTGTATTTAAAGAGAAAAAGTTTATTTCTTTTAATATCCAGAGGATGTTATATCATAATACTGTCTGTGTGCTTATATAATAGCATATTCATAAACTTATCCATTATTGTACTGTATATCTATGTTTATGCAGTAGTACTTCTGACAATTTATTAGAATAACGTAAATGCAAAGTTAAAAACTGATAAAAAATCTTAAAAATTACGATCAAAGAACCAATAAATTTCAAGCAAGGCAGCTTAAAAACAGAGGTTAATTTTGCATGTACACAATTCTAACAAATTATCATCAACGTAGAACTTTGTATATACACATTTTAAATACAAACCATGCCCATGTAGGCAAGACTAGCATGCATTTCTTCATCAATTTGATTTCTTAAACCAGTCAAACACTGTCCATGTAAGTGGTAATGATTCTTGGAAGGTTTCACTTCATTATCTGTAATTTCAAATAATAAAAACAGATAAATTACAGCTATAAATGAAAAATATCTGATTATATTATATATATAAAAAAGGCCTACATTATCTACAGACCTTTTGATAAGATCATACAAATTAAACATTGATTAAAAATTTCAAAGATTACCGTTAAGTAAATATTTATAATTCGTTTAGATAAAGAAATCTGTTGATAGTTTTAATGACTTGTAACTTAATCCCAAATGTATGGAATAGTGAGTGAATGCATGATAAAGAAGGTTAACAATTTTTTTTTGTCTTTAACAAGTGCTTTACTTAATTATATAAATAAATTTTTTGGCTTTTATCCAACAGCCTTACATAATGATTCAAATAATTTCTAAAAATATGTCGACATTTTCCTTATAATTCTTCAGATATGTGTTAATATATTGTTATTGTCCACTAAATTCTCTTCCTCTATAAAACAAAATAATTTAATTACATCCTCAATGATATTAATAGATCTTAATTAAAATCTCTTAATATACTTCACAAATTCATCTTATAAATGCATTTTTTTCAATGGTTTTGATCAATTTTTCATAAAAATTTAACAATAAAATGAATGAAGCTAAACATAATTCTTCATTCTCTACGTCAAAAATTCTTAAAAGTTTAATTATTTAAATGTCTTAATATACTTCACAAATTCATCTTATAAATGCATTTTTTTGATCAATTTTTCATAAAAATTAAAAATTCATTTGAATGAAGCTAAACATAATTCTTCATTCTCTACGTCAAAAATTCTTAAAAGTTTAATTATTTAAATGTATTTTTCTATAAAATTAGTGATTCTTCCTCCTTAAAATTACATTTTTTTTCCTTTTACTTTTTGATAATGGAGATGTATCTTTAATTATCATTTTAAATGTTAAACAATTCAATTTTGTTCGAAGATTTTAAGCATTGTAACTCCTTCCACATGTGAATAATTCNCAAACACTCAACACAGTTGAATTATATAATTAACCTAAAAAGTTATATAAAATAATAATATATTCATAAATTTTGTTAAATATAAGTCAATTAATGGATCCATTTTAATGATTTCTACTAATTATAATCTTTCAAGTAATGTTTTGATTGTCCTTAAAAGTTTCGTAATACAAATCATTAGCAGTTAATTAACATTAATATAAACCATAAAATATTTAAAATTCTGTTAATTAAATTACAAAACATATTACTATGTCATATTTCTCCTCAAACTTAGTTTTACTTTTTTCATTATTTTAATTCTTATAATCAATAAATCCGCAAACCCGACTTTTAATCACAAGACGGCAGCTTAACTGCCTACCTCTAGTTAAATTACTTCATATCTAATTATTAAATTTACTTTGTTACAGCCCGATAATATGGCAATTGTTCGGAATTCCTGCAGTCACAATGCTTACTCATATTTGAAATGCCATCTTAAGTACTTTTATCAAGAAAAGGACACAAACTCAGAGCAACACACAAGTAGACTGGGATTAGAGAGATAAGATGTGTTTTGTATGTATTTCTCTGCAGATTCAGCTGGAGAGATTATATTTTTCACATTTACATGTTATTCAACAGTACATTTTGTTATAAAAATCGTGCAAATAATCTCATGTTTGTCATTTTATTTACCTATTTATCTATCACAAATGAACAAATTCGCATGTTATAAAAGAGATTTCATTGCTAATTTTTTAAAATTTTAATACATAATAAAATGTAATGTATAGACTAGGGTATTGTAATCATAATTAATTAATCAAACTTAATTAGTAGTTAAGAAAAATGAACCATGTCAAAATAAACTTAGTTTGATAAAGTTGGTCTAAGTTTTGATAATTAATAAAATAAAGTTATGGCTGTACGAACATTGCATTATTAAAATATAAAAATTTTAGCAAGCGTCAGTGCGCTATTCTATACATAATTGATCCTAGTGGAGTTCAGTCGATAAAAATTAATTGGCTTCCTTATAAGCTTCAAAAGATGCATCAATTAATTTTAGAGTAAATTAAGGAAAGGTTTACGACGGCGACAACCATTTAATTAGGTTGTTAGCAGAAAAAAGAAATGCTAGAGGGACCAAACTACATTGCAAAGAATTAATTAATTATAAGAAATACTAATATATTGCAATTAATTTTACATAATTGTTAAATTACTTATTGCACAACTCGGGAGCATCATTTACAACATTGACTTTATTTACAGCCAGAACTTCTTATAAAATGTTGTTAACTTTAATAAAATCTAATATTAATAAAAATACAAATATAATTTTTTTAAATATTCAACATTTTTTGATTTAAATTTATTTTCTATGGATTTAAAATGATTTTTACTTTAATCCTATCTCAATTACTATAAACAAACGGTGGATGATTTATGGCTAAGATTACGATAATTTTTAATTAACTAAATTGAAAAACTTGACTTGTAATTTTGGCAGTTAAATCATTATCCTGTACTAATATTAATGTTAATTAGAAATTAATTTTGTATTTAGGAAATTATGGATGACGACTCAAATTAGGATTCAAACCCGTAACTTCTTATCTATCATATAATATGCTTTGCCAGTTATCCAGAACTTCTTAAGCCAAAATCTATAATTTTTAACTAGAAATTATCTTAATTCTAGAAAGAAAATAGCCTAATATTTTCTATTAAACCTAAAAGTATTCTTTTAATATCAGGATATGTCTTTTGTATACTTAATCACTGTATTAGCCTATGAACTTGTTAGAAATAATTGTTATAATCTACTTAAGTAAATATTTAATTGTTATAAATTTATCAAAGAATCTCAGTGCATTCCAGAAAATAAAACCAAATATTCAAAATAATAATAATAATAATATCTAAAATTAAAACCATATAAATTATTCTGTCGTTCATTTATAGAACACGAGTTTTCGTCTTCTCGCATTTAAATTTACATGAATGGAATCATATTAATCTACAAAGGAAAAGAAACAGTTCTAAAAATAAAGTTCAATTATTTGTTTAAAAAACAAAATTATAAAATTAATATGCACTAAAATTTTTCTGTAATAAAGTACAACTGCCCTTCTGAGATTTTTCTCTTTGATCTATCTGTACCAGTATTTCTGTAGCCATTTTTGTCCTTTTATTTATGATAATTTTAATCCAAACTTTTCACTAGTCTGTGTAATAACAACTTATACTTATATACATATATTATACTAAGGAGATTTTTGTTAGCTGAACTCCTCTTAGATTTCTTAGACTTGAATGAATTAGGTGTTGATAGATAGGGGTGGGTGTGTAGAAGTGCAATAAGCTTATTGTTATTGAATCTGATGATCCATTCAGGAGACATTAGGCTCCAACATTCTAAAATTTCTCTATCATTCTGTATGGGGAGTTTACAAGAAAATTTTGCAACAACTGTGTCAGATTCGCCGACAAGTTATCTGAGTGTAAAGTTTACAAAAGGAACATGTGGAACCCTGATAAATATCTCTATTTGTCACAAATTTTCTGCATTCCGTAAGTGTCCACTGATCATTTTATAACTATTTTATAATCCATCATTGCATTGTTATTGATACTTCAAAGTCGTATCTCATTTATTCCCATGTTAATCAGGACTCAGGTTCTGTTGGATTTACTGCTTTATATGGTAAACGAAGAAATTTTGTAATCCATTTTTGATATTGATGTTGAGAGCATGAATATATTTTGCATAATCCAAATAACAAGTAACTTTTGATAGACTTCCAATTTTTAATTCTAAATTAACTTTTTCTATTCAATGCCTTATCCTGTGAGTTGCTTGCTAGTAGTAATAAAAACACGAAAACTTTCGAAGAAAAATAATTTAAGTCACAAAATTAACATTAAAATTTAAAAATTTTATGATTAAAAATTGACTTGCTTATTGAATAAATTTTATTCAATAAGCAGGTCAATTTGATCTCAAGTGAAAGAAAAAAAAATAAAAAACTGAAGTTAGCATAGCATTTTATGATCTTTTCTCACATGATTAAATGATCTCTCTCGTAAGGTCAGGAATAATGGGGTAAAATTCCCCAGACCCAAATTCTCAGGGACCTGGATGTCATCCCACAATTTGTTTTTTACATACTAAGTTAAACATAAAGGACAGCGCAAATTTTTCTCCCGGACCCGGCGACATCTCTCAACACCCCTGCCTAAGATATACCATGTCAAATGATAGGCAATTCATCACTCAAAGCAATCCTAAACAAACAAACTTATAAGGCAAATTAACCAGATGGCCGTACAGCGATAAAAAAAAATCACATCCTAATTTCATAACTTATCACAGGTATCATTGAGATATCACTCCCATGTTTTGCAAATAGCCAGCGACGCCATTATAGATCGAACCTGCCAATATCGAGAAAAACTAATCAGTTGTATCATAATACGCAAGTCGCACGCAGTGATAAATTAATCAAATTTATGGTGCACAATTAATTCTGATTTCCATTTTAGGTATAATTATTGATTTTTCAACTGCAACCTGTTAGAATTGATCTTAGATTAGATTAATTCTTAATTTACATCATAATACAGTATATATGTATATTTCTGTAATGGGATAAAATATACAATTGAAGAAGCACAGAAATATACATATAAATTAGAGAAGCAAGAAGAAGCCCATTGTTTTCTTCGCCCATTCTTGCTGCCCATTGTTTTCTTCGCCCATTCTTGCTGCCCATTGTTTTCTTAGCAATTACAGAAGCAGCAGCAAGAAGCCCATTGTAGAAATATACATATCATTTATAGAAGCAGCAGCAAGAAGAAAACAATGGGCTTCTTGCTGCTTCTTCTATAATTTTTATGTATCAATATATTTCTACAATGGAATGAAATATACAATTGAAAAAGTATTTAAAATTAAAGATTCAGTATAAAAATTCCATAACATAATACAGTTACTTAGTAACAAATCAACACAATTACTTCATATTGTTACGTCATAAAAGGCAAGAAAACAAGTACATACTCTCCTTTCCTATAGCAACCACCGCAAACAAACAGAAAGTGACAACTGCAGTAAACATAGCGGGAAAAAAACGATTCTTCCGAGGAAAACAATATATATACGGTTACTTTAAGCAGCTATTATGACTTTGTACTATAAATTTTATCGTTTTTATATCAACATAACTGTGTCTAAATATTTAAAGATAGATAGCCTTTGCACTCACTGGTACAGAAGGCCTGAGAAGTGAACAAAACAAATGACGTGATTAATATGAAAGCCACCTAGCGTCGATCGATATTATATAGTATGAGTCACGTGATACAGTAGGCCAATCGAATCGCTGCACATTAAATACATTCTTCTGTATCGGTATCATTAAGAGTCACGTGATTGTTACCTTTAACCCGTCGAGTCGCGTGGCGCAAAGATTATATAATTTACGTTT